TCTTTTTTATGCAGATATAGCTGGGAAGCAGACATGTTTTTGCCACAGCACCTATGCTAGGTCCATTTTAGACTGAATTTAGCTAGCTGGCATAGCTGATTGTGTCATCTTAACTTTAAAACATTTTTGCTGTCAGGATGACTGTCCTCAGTTATTTACCATATATTACCGTTCATAGTTACCGCTACTGACACCATATGAAGTAACCGAGCAACTTCATGTGTCTTTTTAAGGCTTCCTCCTTGCTTTTCTTATAGCCCTTAATTGTAATAAGTCATAAGTTTTAGTGTTAAGCTTCTCATTGACACTAGCTACCGTTTCAACAGGATGCTTATGATTAAAATATGCATCTTCACTAAAATGAGAATGACTTAAGGCTTACATGCTAGCAAGGATGATGTTTTAGAATATATAATGTACCTATTTCTGGGTTATTACTGTTAATACTATTAACAGTATATAACAGTATATAACAGTATATTGCATTCAGGTGCTTTTTGTAAGCTTGAAAACTTGTCTTTATTGTTAAATCAGCTGTCACATTCTAGTCTTGGAACACATTTCTATTCAGGTCATTTTTAAGAGGGAAGAAAACAATTTGTTAATGTTTTAGCTTGGGAAGTGGTGTAAAAACTATTGTTTCTTCAATTGGACTTTTAAAAGATTTTGACAATTCAGCAAGGTCACAGCCACAGAATCTTTCTTGCAGGCAGCAAAAACCATACTCTGAACTAACATTATAACTTGCCCATAAGTCATTTCCACCACCGCCACTCCTAAACTGCTTTATGTTTGAATCAAATGATGGTACATTTCTTCAGAACAGCAAGGGACATATAATGGAACATGTCTTAAAGATATTTGTATTTACTGAACTTAATACAGAGGTTAAAGCTATGATTTACCACAAGTATTTTTAAAGATCAGTATTTTAATGCATGTGCCTAAAATTAAAATGTGCTTAGCTGCTTAACAATGAACACTTATTTTTGAAGGCTTGTGATTAAAGATTAGCAAAATTTTATTTATTATTTAATAGTTTCCAACCATATATTTGTTTCAGGCATAAGTGACAGAGTCTACAAATGAGTGACAGAGTCTGTAGACAGAGAGTCTACAAATGCGCAAACAGATAGTCTTTGCATAAATTGTGCAGATGTATTTAGAAATCCTAAATACATTAAGCCAAGAACAATGATTTACCCAACAACCTAGTGCTGAGATTGGCTCTTCAGAGAAAGTTGCCCCTCCTCCCGTTCAGTCCACATTATTTAGATATGTGGGGGAGTAAGTTTTCTGAATTATACTAAGTGTAATTTGTATGAGGTTGTCAAAAAGGCCTTCTAGCACTAGCTGTATCCTATAGTTGGGATACTTGATGCTTCCCCTAAGTTGTATATTTGTAAAAATGCAGAAATAACTACCACTTTTCTGTAAGCCTTCTTACATGGTCTTAACTTTAAGTTGTGCTGACAATTTATAACGAAGTCATATACCTCTGAATCGGTAGAAAGAAAGAAAGATCTCCTTTCACGTGATATATTAATACAGATGTGCTGCTGGCACTGGAAAGGTAGGTCAAACAGGATTCAAACGTTTCTACAGTTAAAAAGAAATGAAGAACTAGTAGAAGAATATGTAGTGCTTGGGAGAAGCTGACTTTATCAGCTCTGGGAGACGCTTTAACATTATGTTGTGACATTCCACTGAGAAATCGACCTTTCAAGACAGCCACAGTTTATGTGATTCTTAACAGAGGACTGATGAGCCACAGAGTTGAGCGAAATGCAAAATGTTTTACAAGAATTCGCCCTTGACAAAAGGGGCTTTTTGGAGTGAGGATTATACAGGTGTTAACTATGCATGATGCATCAAGTCTTTTTGTGGTACCAGTTATCTTTAGTCTCATTATTGCAGAAAGTTTGACAAACTCAAGCAGTCCTTGGACATCCAGAACAACATGGAAATAGCATTATTTCCGATAATTAGCGTTATTTCCATGTGCATGGAAAATCATCTAAATCCATCATGTTCAGTGGCAGCACTTCTCATGCTTGTGCCAAAGATGAGAAAGGAAAAAAAAAAAAAAGAGTGCAACTTATTTGAGTTGAGCATGCTGCAATAGAATTGTCCCCTTTTAAAGCATTATGGGTTTTTTCCTTCAAAGAACTTTTCCTAGAAAATCTTTGTTCATGTGACCTACGTTACTGAAATACTGCAAAATTCTGCGTTGAAGGTAAAGGTTTATATTTGCATAGATGATACCTGTGCCCTTTAAAGATACTATGCACATATCTGAGGAGCACAGAGCAATGTGTTGCATTATAAGGCCTACTTGCAAAAAGGTTTAAAAGTGAACCTTCTACCCAAAGAACTACTTGCTCCTTTTGAGAATATTGTTAAATTTCAGATAACTTCGCTTTGTGTAGTTCATTGTTTTTGATAGTTCAGTGTGAACTGGAGTAGATCTTAAAAGTCTGGAGCACTGATTACCTCAATGTTACCCAAGCTCACGAGTGGAGAGTGTAATTTGGGTAGTGGGATAGCAGAATACAATTCCCTTATTTAAATCCTACTTTGTTTTAGTGTATTCACAGCATTTTTATATTGTGCAGTACATGGCTGTTATGTCTTTTCACTGCCAGAAACAAAGTAATACAGTTCAAAGAAGCAACACTTTTTTTTCAGCTTTATAGAAATGAACTTGCTAAAACGTTAAGAGGAGGATGGGAAAAGTTCATTTCTTCTTCCAGCAGCACAAGATCTTTCTGGTCAGGAACACAAAGCTTGCAAAACGGAATAATGTAAGGGTGAAGTTATGATTATTGCACTATCTTAGTTAGTGGAGCAGCTTACAAAGGAATCACAAGCATATGCTACATGGTTTACTTCTGCATTTTCCCAGAATATCTGTGATCAAGTGAGCCAGAATTAGGGATTTTCTGCTATGTAGCCCTTTCTTACAAGCTGTTCTATTTGCTAGAGCAAAGTTAAGACCATGGTAATGACCCTTTTCTATACAAGAGGTTCATTTCTTATCTCAGTATATGTCTGCAGCAATGCTCAAAATATAAATAAGAAACACTAGCTAAATGAGTCTGTATGACAAAGATCAGGTGTCACATACACAGTTAATTCTAGTTTGCCCAGTTTTTACCAAAACCGGCTTTTCCCCATCAGCTGAAGAGGTAGCAAAGTATTGCATCTTCAGTTTACTCAGCATTGTTTTTTGCAGAAAGAGCTTACTATCCACCAGGTACTGACTTCAGCAGAATTTAAGACTTCATTAAAAATTAGGATGCGATAACAACTGAATGCTAAGGGACAGAATTCCCTTTCATAATCTGTAGGTAACAAATCCAGCTTTGCCTGCTGGCTCACACCTTTTACAGAAAGCAAGTTTGATGGGGCAGGCAGGTTCTCTTCATAGGTGCTGTTCAGAAAGAAACCTACAAGGGCATGGAAGTTGATCAGAGTCACTTCAGTTTCATTCTGCTGCTCCTCAGGACAGCTACTGAATGAAAAGAAGGTAGTCCCAAAATAGATTGCTGTGAACTACAGGAGTATCAGAATCTTCTCGTTGGCACTCAAACCAGGTTGAAGATCCGCTAACAAAGCTTTTACAACACTTGGTCTGGGACATGGCAGGAGACAAGGGAAACCTAGGTGCCTTTTGGGGTTTTTTCTTTTTTTTCCTTTCTTTCTTTTTTTTTTTTTTTAAGTTTATCATTCACATTATTTAAAGGCTTACACAAAAAAAAAAACTAATAAAGATAATAGATTGTTTATTCAATAGGAAGCCGCTACTCTTTTTAGCTGTGTGGGGTAGAGATAGCTGAAAGGAGGCCTTTTCCATCTTAATCCCAATGTTGTATAAAGTTGACTAAACTCTCCAAATGAGATTAAAATAAAGTCTTAGTTTCATCATGGTTTGTTTAATAGAGTTGTTCATAAGTCATGGTTTCTGACTCATAGAAAACATCTATTTCAGAGTTTGATTTTTCACTTCCAAAGCTTGAAGAATACCTGCTTGCTGCAAAAAATGCTGAACTGTCATGGAAAATCATGGGGACTGAGAGTCAGATAACTTGTGCACAATTACAGGATTCCTTTAAGTATGATATAGTCCAGGCATAAAGCGTTGCAACTACAGAAGATAAAGGGGTGTGAGGCAGACTGATCTTTCTGGAATACCTTCAGAGACCAAAAACAAAGAAGTTACAAATAGTCTTTCTTCTCTCCCCTCAGCCTGGGCACATTGAAAAATGCAGAAGAAAATGCCTTAGTTAAGAGTTAGATCAGTTAAAATATATATAATTTATTATTGTAAATTTAATTCATATTTGCAAAAATTTGTCATAGACAAGGCTGATAATCTATTAGTAAGCATTCTGATTTATTTTCCATAATTTAGCTTTAATTTTCCAACTTTTAACCACTCAGTTTTGCCCATTTGTAAATTAAGTCTTTATAAGCAAAGAGTTTCGGATTGGTCACCCAGAAAACAGAGCACATTCTTAAGAGGGGGGGTCTAAGAGCCTAGGCAAGCTACTTACCCAAGCACCAAGAACACAAATTGCTTCCTATGAGGCAACCGCGCTTCTCTTCCTACTGTTCTCCACCTTACTCACCGTGTAACTTCTACATGAACTGAAACTGAGCCATTGCAAGGTGTTAGTCTCCCTCATTAAACAACCTGATGCTTAGCTCTGCTGTGGATCATTACAACTGATTTAGGCAGTTCTGAGGAAAACAGGCAAATATAGGCTATCAAAGTGCATATACAGAAGGGTTCTTCACAGTGCATCTCTAGTTTTATATTTGGATGCTATTAAGTTTACTGTTAATAAATTCAGGTATCTTAAGCTTTTATGTCACTGTCCTTCTCCATAGCATCTGAGCGTAAAGCCTTTAGAAAGCACCTTTGTCTTCCTATCAAGATTCCTGTTACGAAGTACAGATTTTTGTATTCCAATACTAAGGATTTTGTTCTCTTTTAGGATCGAAATAGAATGTATGACAGTCTGAATATGCACTCTTTGGAAAACTCCCTTATTGACATTATGAGAGCAGAGCATGATCCACTTAAAGGTATGTTATTACGCTAAATAAAGAAAAAAGAGTCACCCATTCTGCATATTTGCATTAAGACTGATTGCTAATTTAGATCCTAGGTTCAGAGTAAAATAGCAAATGAATGATTTTTCTCAACCCATATGAAAGGTCATTCTCAATCAGTATTTTATTGTAAATATTTGTTTATAGTTGTTTAAAACTTAGTGTCTTTATAGATTTCTCCAGCCCCCCACCCCCCAAAATTCACAGTTAGGTTTATCTGAAATCAGCTCATCTGCTGCAGGAAGTTTTACCCCAGTTTGTGAAGACACACTGATGTGTTGGAGCTAGCCAAACAGGGTTGAGAGGGGAACCAAACCACTACCAATGTTAATTAGCCTATTAATTTTTCCTTCTTGGCAGTGGAAGCTGAAAAAAAATTTACGGGCACTGACAAATTCAGTCCTTATCCTTTAAATATTTTTTCAAAGACCCTGCAGGATATAATTTGTATAATTGTCCTTAATAATAATCCAGAAGTATGCTTGGTTTTAAGATGCTGATTCCTTCTACTGCTTTAAGCTTTGTTGAAACCATTTTGCCACATCAGTAAGCGTACAGCTAGTATTTGTAGACTTCAGTTTTAACTCTTGTATTCATTGTGCAGTAACTCACTCCTGAGTACGTTTTTCCATACTTATTCTCTGATGGATTTTGCCACTGAACTTGGGGGAGGGAGCCCAAGTCATTGTATTCGGCCTGATCACGTCATTTCTTTTGTGGTATTATAGTTGGACTAACAAAATCTAACTTTAAAATTATCTAAGACTTCAAGCTTGCTATGCCATTCTTGCTGTGCAGTAAGTATATCTCAATACTGAAATAAGTATATAAAAATAAGTAGTAATTTATTTGAATTATTTACCTCCCTCAATAGAGGTGCTAGGATGTAATGTATATTACGCTAGCGCATAAGGGCCTCTGTTCTGCTACTGAGAGACTTTGCTAGAGTCTGCTTATGGCACTCTCAAAATACGTAATCAATTGGAAAGCCTCTTGTGTTCAGGTAGCACGTAATAGTATTGTAAGATTTACAATATAAAGCCAAAAAGCGTTGTTTTTTTTTTTTTTTTTTTAATGGTGAAAGTATCTAAAAAACATCACTAAATAGGTTACAAATTTAGCCAGCCAGTTAATATTCCACTTCTTTAGAGTGGAAGTTGAAATTAATATTTTCTCAGATGTTTTTAAATATAATCTTTAGTTTCATAGCGCCTACAGAGAATGAATTCCAGTTTTAACAATTTTGTCAGTGAAGTCCACTAATAAATTCATTTATTAAATAAATGTCTACAAAATATCACTAAGTAAAACAAAGAGGTTGAAACCTGTGAACAGTTAACCTAGTGGTAACTGCTATGGACTAAAAGTATGGTATGTTATCAGAGAAAAGGTAACTAGCTAGATCATCCTTGTTTGAAAGCTCTGCTGCTTCAGTTTGCTACATTCAGGTGGTGATTCATAATTTTTTTCAGTTATCTGAACCAAAATCTACCATCAGCAAGGATATTAAAAGGTAAAGCTGCTGTTAGGCATCAGATCTTTTATCATGATACACAATTATTATCATCTGTCACATTCACAAAAAAACAATCAGTTCTTCCAGTTTTCCTGTGCAGACTAACATGATAAATACTTCAGGAAGTTGTTGCTTTGTTCCCCTTGCCAGCTCACTGTTTTCATTTTGCTTTTATAATGCATAAGAGTTCTCAGAAGCACAGAGAACACAGATAAGACCCAGTTTTATTTTTATTCGTATCATCATATTTCATTGTGAAATATGAAAAAGTATTTTTCCTAATAATATTTTTCAGTGAGAATAAGGCAAGACAAAGCTTTAAGATTTTAAAGTTAATTGTTTCCACATACACGAACTGCTGAAATCTCAGTGAAGGTTTCGTAGTTATTCTGTGCTTTCTAGAGATATGAGTGTATGTTTCAGTCTACGGTTCAGACAAATTTTTTTTTTTTTAACAGTTTCACTATCATATACTTGGAATGAAAATTCCGTAAGTTTTATGTTTGAACTAAAACAGATGGAAGCCATAGATAGTGTTGAATTCAAAGGAATTTTTTTTTGGTTGGTTGGTTGGCTGCCAGAGAACAATGCACACACCATCTGAATTTAAATAGAATAATTGAGTACCATTATTTAATACATTTGATAAGGTATCATTTCTCTTTTGAAAATACTATTTCAACTGAAACAACTAAATTATTAACAGTGAGATGAGAAATGTTCATTAGTGATTTTACTGCCTGAAAATGGGAAGGGGAGAACACATTGTAGAATAGCTTTTTAGTCTTTCCTTATCCTTTCTCTGTTTAGTCACCATTAGCTGGCATTTCTGTAATTTCTGTAATTTCCTAGTGGCTTGAACTTTTTTTCTGCAAATCACCAAACACAAATTTTGTTATTTCAGTCCCTGGGGCTTTTTCTTTTCACCACAGCAAATCTGACATTTACTTACAAAACCATCATATTTGCTTGCAGAAAGTGCAGGCTTAACAATTTTATTAATCATTATTTATTATTTTTATTAATAGGTAACAGTTTATTGTAACTAAAAATATTCTTTAGTTACAAAAATATTCTTATGAGAAGTTTTTAAGTAAATCTAAGCTCACTAAAACAATGCATCTTTTATATCTGACCACAGCAGTAAAATGAAAGTCCCTGGAATTTTAAGCACGTGTTTCAGATTTAGCTGCTTATAATATCTGGAGTATGACTAAGCATCTTGTCTCAGGTTCTGCACGATGCAGAACAGACACTGCATGTACTAGCTCACAGCTTTAGGTTTTAGATTTGAAAATCCATTTTAGAAGGAAGACAAACTTCACCACTTTTGCTTTCGTGAACTTGAAAACCTATGCCAAATAAGATTCACTTTAAGTTAAATTTAAATCTGCCAAAAATTGTTTCTGGATGTGTAGTTTTGGCTTAGGCAAAATTTAGTCAGCATTACAAACAAGATCAAAAGAAAAAAAGTTATTTTTTTAAGAAAAACATTTTGAGAATTTTTTTTTTTGAAACTAGATGCTTGGTTTTGCTGGTTATTGTGGTAGACAAAACAATTGTATTAAAATGAATCTTTTCCATGCCTTTTTCTCAAAATGCATTTCATAATAAGATATTAAGACATTTAAGATAACTCTTTATAATCAAGAGAGTATGAACTGATTTTATTAATCCTTAAAACTTTGAGAGAAGTGTTGCAATATTGGATGAAAGTGAGTCTCAAGTACCTAGACATTGGCAGTAAAACTCCTTTTCTAGACACAATACTTCAGTGAGTTAGTTTTTTTCCTTCTCCTCCCCCAAATACCAGTGTTTCCTGATCTCAACATGTAGAAAAATTGAATTATAGCTATTTCAGAAACAAGTAAGCCAATACATATTGGCTAAAATAGGTTATGGAAAAAGGGTAAAAGGAGTGGTTACATTCATGGAATATGTGTTAAAATTGAGAAGCAGATGACTTAATGGGATTTATTATCTAGAATTGTTTTAAATGTGTTACTAGTAGAGACTATGGTGCTTTCCATGTCTCTTGTTGGGCAAGAGTATTGATACTGTGCTCAGTTTTCAATTGCTTTCTATTTCCTGTCCAATCTTATAGCTCTGTAAGCTAGGTGTGAAACAGTACTGAACTTGAATTTGTCATAACTACATTAGTAAGAACAACAAGAAGAAATACTAACATTCTGTTCATTAAAAAAAAAACAGAATTGCATTTTCTGTATGATTTTCTGAAAGGTGAGGAAAATGAATAGACTTTTCAGAAAAGTCTATTTTTGTATATCTAATAATGAAAGGAATAATAAAAGCAGAACACTAATATTTGGCTTACCTCTAGAGAAAATAACTTAGTGCTTTTAGAAGCCTTTGTCTTGCTCTTCCTTGTTTTTATGTTCCCTTTCAACTGCTCTCATTAAGCTTTTCAGGTCTTCTACTTCTTGCTTTTAAAAGGAACCTTCTGGAGCTTGCTCACTGGAGTCTAGAGAAAAGGCAGTGGTGACTCAGCAACATAGCAGAAAACATTTCTTTTGTTGGCTGTGGTAATTTGTGCTTTAGAAAAAAATCGTTTTTTATTTTTTGTTACGAAGCACTAGGGTTAAAGCTATACAATTGCTTCCTAGAGTAATTTAGATTGTACTCGGAAGAGAGTTTCTGAGGCTGAACAGAAACGGTGGAGGAGAACCGTAACTTTTTGTCACATTAAAGGTTGTGAAATTGCATGCAGAGATTGGTTTCTGTAAGTTTCTTTTATATAAAACTTTAAGTGAAGAAACATTTGAGACATTAGAAAAGTTGTGTGAAAAAACAATAAAATATCAGACTTGTGAAACCATGAGTCAGCAACTTTTAAAACAGTCATGGATACTTTGTCCCAAATGTTTGAGTATTGAGATTCCTACAGCAGTTAAATAGGAGTAGAAACTATGCATTTCCAAGCTGTAGATATGAATTTGCCTGGAAAAGAAAGGTGAATAAGCATAATTAAATCTGGATATTCAGAAGAAGCTTACAAAAATTTAAGTATGCATGGCACATATTAGCAGCATGAGATTACAGAAATTAACTAAAATTTAGTTACTCATGCCTCTTGTTTTGAATTAGCAGGACTCTTGACTAGATTTAGTAGCTAAATTGGCCCACAGAAATTTATTTGCAAGCTTTTTTTTTTATTTGTCCTCACATAAGAATATGTTGTGAGAAGTACTTAACGTTTTCTGTTAACATTAATCAATTTTAGACGTGGAAGACGGGACTAAATTTAATAGAATTCTTAATTACATAAGAAATCGTCAAACATATCTGCTTCTCATTAGCAATATTATTTTGAATTTAACCATGATACATGAGAATTATTGAATAGTGGTAATGTGCTGAAATTGCTAAATTCAGGATTGCACAGGAAAAAAGTCTATAATATGATACTTCCTGATACAGTACTGTAATATTAGGTGTTATATTTGTTCCAAATAACAATATGGTACTAATTTTGGATGCTGTAAAGCTAAATTCTATAGACAGTCAAGGAGTAATTACTTTTTTATTTCTCAGGAATTGGATACATCCATTATTTCAGTATTAGATATTTTGTAGCTTACTTGTAGATGATTTTAAAACCCATAAAGCATCATTATATGTTACTAAAATTATTTTTTAGGCAGTCTGAGGCTCCTGCAATCACTAGAATAAATATTGAACTGTTTGTACTGTTCTAGATGATTCACAGTGGAGTAGGATGGGATTTGTGAAGGGGCATTTTTAAAGGTGCTGAGCATCATACAAAGAAAATAGCTGAATATAAAATAAGAAAATTTTTGTAAGATGATGGCCCTATTTTACATGCTCATATTTACATCCTGCTTAGGTTTGTAAACATCCATTGAACTAGAATAATCTGTTTAAATACAGAGTGTAATGTGAGCTCTATATAAGACTGATCTTGCACCTAGCTCCTAGCATGAAGTGTTCTGAATTTATACATATCATTGAAGTCAGCTGGGGTTCCTGGAAACACAGCATTGTACCGCAACACGTTAATCCGAGGGATAAAAGTCTAAGTTAATGTTATCAAATAGCAGTAATTATATTTTGAAAGAAGTAAGCAAACCGCCAATGTTAAAATGTTTTTAAGGTTGTAAAGTCCTAGTATGAGACAAGGTAGTCAATACAAGTTTTAAGGTCATCAGAGTGCAACAATATAAAGTGGGTATGATTTGGTCATTGAAATAACCATTTAAATAAGACTAAAAAGAAGCATCAGTACAGCTGTGCTTGTATTGAATACTGTATTACTTGCTTTGCTTTTCTACCCATTGGAACGCAATATCTGCGCTGGCAAATTCATCTTTGTAACACAGCAAGATTAGGTGTCTTTGTGTGATTAATAGGTTAGGCTCAGGAGCAGTGGGCAGGTAGCGGGCTCTCAGAGAGAGAGTGCTCCTTTGCGCTTTCCCCGCTGCTTTGAGAAGTGCTTTATTTCAACTTTATTCAATTTGACATTTTATGTTTCTGGTGCAGCTTAGGCATGAAGCAAAAAAAAAAAAAAAAAAAGTCAGAAGAATGCAAAAATAGAATTGCAAGTCCATAATATACTAGCTTCTAAAACAGTTTTCCTCTGTAGGTGTTGAGATTGGCGGGGTTGTTTCCTGATAGACTTTAAATCTTATCTTTTTTTCCTGTAGCAATTAGAATATATATCTTTTGTCTCCCTTGCAAAATAACAAAAGAGAAAAAGATGCACAGATAGGGAAGGAGATTGTCACCACCAAATTAGGGAGACTCAAGATCAGATAATCATTTCTCATGGTTCTTATAATTATTTATTCTAGATACAATGTTCTGTTTTGCAAGAAACAGTTCATACTGTTACAAGTATTTCTGTAGCACTTTATATATTCAGAACACGATGGTGACAGTAAATAATCTTAAAAGATCCTTGTCCTTAGGAAAATGAGAGTTACTTTTATAGGCCAAGGAACCAAGAAAGAAGAAAAGCAAAATGACTTGCTAAAGGTCATGTTGAGTGAATCAGTGGCAGCTCCAAGACTGCAAGGATGACTTGTTCCTCATTCTTATTTTACTCTGCCAGCATGCACTGCTAGAAGGGCAGAATACTTAGTTTCTAGAGGCATTAGGTGTAGCCATTGATGCTCAGCATGACAGAAAAATTGGATTGTTATTAAACCTGGACTTTCTGAAGATAAGGAACATGAAGATGGAGGCTCCTGCCAACATTTTTGTTTAATGTTTTGCCTAAGCCTGATTAAAAATATTGACAAATTTAGGGAATACTGTACGGTTCTTTCGGGTGGCATTCCACTGCCCGTTTTCAGAAGGCTGCCCTTTTCCTTCATTACTTTCTCCACGCTTTAAAATGCTAAAGCAAATAGGCAGAGTTCCTACTTAATCTTCATATATTGTAATACCATCCATTCTTATAAATAATAAAGTCTGTGGGAAGAGAAGTAATATGTGGTTGTATAAGAATCTTTTTGTCATAATGCCTGTAAATAGTAAGGCAGAATAAAATATCCCAAATGATCTTAATCCTGCTATTTCAAGGTTCTGAATGCAAGAATTCATCATATTAGCTATTTTTCTGTAATTTCTTGGTGGAACATTTGCATTTGTTTATTAAAGGAGAAGAGCAGAACTAAACCCTATTACAGTTTTCCAGCAAAATTTTTTTTTTTTATTTAATCCCAAAGGTGTCATTTAGCCACAGTACTCTTCTAGGAAATTTCCAGTCTTGCTGCTAACCTCACAGATTTCCCAAAACTTCGGGGAGGGAAAAAAAAAATTATCTACAATGGGAAATGTTAAGACAGCCTTAATATATGGATTGCTGCTTTGGTTTTCTTTTTCTTTTTCTTCTGTGTTTGTTTTTAGAAAGGGTTGGCCTTTTTAGGGTATAACGATCTACAATGTCTTACTAATATTTAAGTAACTTACTTGCATCTGCAAGCCATCTGCATGCGTATTCCCATTTAAATCTATGTGAGTTCTAAAGACCCATAGCTTCTCGACTGGATTCTTCCTTATGTTTCAACAAACATCTAGTTTCCTCAAAAAGATTTAAATGTTTAAGTTACAGTATTTTTTTCCTATATGTATGAGGATTATAAACAAGCAAGTATGTTTTAATGGCAAGATACATGGAAATGTAGGGTTTTTACACATGAAGGCACACTTCTTCCAAACACAGCAGCTATTGTAAATTTCGGTCTAGGTCAGTGTGCAGTACTGGTATGGTTTCAGCTTCTTGTAAACAGAAAATGTCTCCTTTACTAAAGAGGAATTTATAGTGAAGCTACTTCAGCTATGTATTTTAAACCGATCATTTAACTATTAAAAGTATTACATGCCACCAGTTTAGTAAATGCCGTACTTGAACCTAATGCCAGGATATGAGGTTTTCATGACATTTTTATCTAGTAGATGCTTGTCTTTGAGAAAGTGTAATCTGCCACATTATTTTGCTTTATGTCTGTAGATAAGCTAATACTCTAGTTTTGCCAGACTTGCTGAAAAATATTACTATGTACGGTGGTCAGATGTGATTCTCCAAGATACAATCATAATTTGGTTTTACATTTTTACATGCCTTTATATTAATTCCTATTAACAATATTCTTGTTGCATTGATTTAACAGAGAAATACCGAACTGTAGAAATTACCCTCTGTTAAGCAATGTGCATAGTGCAGTTATTCACAATCACTATGAAAGAGAAGACTAAAGCAGTCAGCACTATTTCTGGGTGTCATGAAACAAAAAGTGGCTTTATCCTATTGGAGCTGATCCCAAAGCACATTGCAGATCTTATGACCAGAGAATTAAGGTTAAGAAGTCTGTTCCTGTCAGCTTTAACTTGGGTCAAGGGTATTGTTGGTTAATGTGCTTGGAGTTAAATATTAGCTCTTTATTTCCCTTAAGCAAAATGGAAATATGGTATGTATTTGAATTCTAAGCTGTGATATTTTTCATTTCACTTCTTAAAAATTATTATTCTAGTATAATAGCTAAAAACTCTGCATTTGTTTTGTTGTTGTTTTTTTTTAATTTTCTTTTAAGGTCGCTTGAGTTATCCACATCCAGGAACTGACAATCTTCTGATGTTAAATGGTAAGTGCTAATCTTATAACAGTTTCTAATTATCTCTAGCTTAGCTTAGCTCTGAAACGTTGGTATAAAATTATACTATTGTATTCTGTTATTCAATTACTTGCCTCTAGTCCTCAACAGTGATGGGACTGTTGCCATTTCTCAAAGTTGAATGGTAGTGCTAATCTTGCAAAAGCCTTTCATTATGTCTAGCTTATTTGAAATCTGAAATACTCAGAGAGATGTCCTATTCTTTTCTGTTCTCAAGCAAACTAACACTGTATGCTCTAAACAGCTGCGAGAAATCTATTACGCTGAAGCAGGAATTAGAAAATAAGGCTAGAAATGCATATTTTTCAATATTGTGTAAATAAATGATGAATTATACATCTTTTCTATTATATTTATGTGAAACAACATTTTTTGTGGGCTTTTTGTAACTGGCTTTGTCAAATATGCTTCTAACTCCAAAATATGCTGAAGTTAGAGTTCATGTTCACGTTCCTCTCACAGTAGGTCAAACTTCATGAACATCTGCTACTCCGTGAAGTCATGAACTTTAGCCTTTGTTCAAGGCTAAAGAAGGAAGCAGAGCTTGGTAATCTATCTAAGTCAATAATAAATCAGGGTTTTTGCACACAAATGTTTTCTACATTGGAAAAAAATAGAGCTATAATTCCACAGCTTCACTAGATTTAAGAAAGTGGAAACTGTTGTGCACAACGCAAGGACATTTTTGTAACTGACTTATCAATGGAGAATGATGGGTCTAAACCTTATCAGTAAAGATCTAATTATAAAAAAACAAACAAATTAGTTATTTCAGGTGTGTGGTTCTGTGGAGCCCTTTTTTTATTTGCCTTACCCTTCTGGACAGTCATTTACACTCTTGCAAATGGATATAAAATGAAAAAAATTGTAGCACTGAGTAGATATTTAAAATTTTAAGGGATTTCAGCTTTTGCTTTATAAGCCATGAAAAGTATGTATTGTGCAGTGGACAGCTTTGAAGAATCAGATCTTTTAGTGCTGGAAAGTTCTTAGAGAGAATGAGTAACTTGGAAAGCTAAAGTAGCAACTTGCTATTGAAATAAAATTTGTACTTAGCCTACACGACCCATACTGCTAATTCCTGGTTTCAAATTACATTGCATATGGATATGCTTGGTGTTATAAAACTTAAAGCAGCTAACTTGCTGTGTTAAACTGCAACAATAAGACCTACAACTGCAGAACTAGAAAATGTACAGGGAGTAATGGTGAATAGTTCCAGACAGGCACTTAATAAAACATATTTTGCCTAGCTATAACAGCAGACGTCCTTTTGATACTAGGACCCTATTATGCAGGCTGGTTTGTTCAGGTGGTGTCTGTGCCATGTGGTTATATACTGATTTATAATGAAGTGTTACATCGGAGGATATTAAAAATGAATCAGTCTTATGAGTGATTGTCAAATATTTCAATGTGTGAGGAATTCATATTTTTAATTTGTTTACTTTGATGCTCAAGATGCTGAGCTTCTCTTTATATAGTATTGTCAAATGCTAAAAGAGCAAGTGGGCATTGTTATGCTATGGAATATCTTTTTTTTAAAAAAAAAAAAAAAAGTCTTTGCTATTATCAGTGACCTTGATAAAATGCATCTCTCTGTTACCAGTCTGTCCTGAAAACCTTTCCATGGAGCTGGAATATTTTGTTATTAATGCTGGTGGAGTTTCCACTGTTGTTTGGAAGATAGCACTCGGTGTAACTGCTCTTCTTAAAAGCTGCAATATGATTTGTGACCTTCTCACAGGCGAGATAAAAACAGCTTGAGTATCTAGAAGATAGACATTGAAATACCTAACTTTTTGATGTGGCCTGTAGAATTTAATTGAGAACCTTGTTTTAGACACCTAAACTCCCTAAAATGTATCTGGAAAGACTGAGGTGCCTCATAATACAGTCCAGTGCGGTCAGGAATGCTGATTAGAGCTGCCTGAAGTTGGAGTGTCTAAACTGCAGCTGCTTACAGCTAGTAAATAGAAAATGCTAAGAACAGCTTCTGAGAAGCCCATCCAGCTGCTCAGATTCTCCATCACAACCTTTCTTTCTTAGTGAGATTTGAGGGGATTTCTCATTATGTGTGATAATGAGAATCAGAGCTTGAACGCTTGTTGGCAGGTGTAGACTTAAGTTTACTTCTCTGCTTAGGAGATTCAAGCTCACGTTTCACAACGTCCCTTTAAAAAGTGCCTTAAAGGGAGGAATGGGGAAGAGGAGAAGGGGTAATCCATAGAGACTCGAATTTGTGCCGTACGTTCTCAGTAAGTGTTCTAGACCCTGAGTAGCAGCAGTCCTTCAGAAAGAAAGCAGCAGCGTTTTTAAGGAGCCTCTTCCCATCTTTGTGTGCTGTAATACTTAGCACTAGATCATGTTTATTTTAGTAGATAAATTTGTATCTCTGAATGCCAGAAAAGTTTAAGCATGAGCCAGCCTGGAATTCCTCAACCTTTTTAAGACTAAGCACTTCTAGATAAAGCTTAGTTCTCTTCTTAAATGATGGATCTTTCTCAGCCCATTTAGATTCTACTTACTTAACTATACCTAATATTAATATTAACAGTTTTCATTATTTGAATTATGGAAATTAACAAAAGGAAAACTGACTTATCTGTTTTAAAGCTCAGGCTGGAAAAAAAAAAAAGTAATGAATTTTTAATGACTGTTACCTCCTAACACTCAAGAAAAGCTGTTTTGAAATGAATTTACTTAAGTCTTTAATTGTGAGCTCCATTTCTCTTTCTATAGCAAGTAATAATGTACGAGTCCAACATGCTAGGTTTTAGGGAGTGTTTTTTTCCCTGCATTCTAATGCATTTTTTTTAAACAGCAGTTGAAACTTAATAATAGGGTAATTCGCCATTTAATCAGTGCAGCAAGGAAGTGTTAAGATATTCTATCACTTAAACGTATTAAAGCTGATTGTGCTTCTAGAAAGATGTTCTACTTCAAGTAGAAGTTACTGAGCATCCTAATACAGGAATTGTGGAATGAGATCCTATAGTTTGTTATTCAGGCTAAACTTGAATAGTCGTAATGATCTTTCAGCCTTAAAATCTATAAATATGTGACTTCTAAAGGAATCTTAATAGAGTTTAGGCACCTAAATTGAATAGAATGCAATGAGAATTAGACGCCTACTTCTTTTAGCCTAAGCTCTTGTGAAATTTCAGCCATAATTCTATATAGTTTTCTTTAAATGACAAGTAAGTATTGAAGAAAAAGCTCTGCTACTTAACTATTACTGTTTGTCCCTGACATTCCTGATTTAAATGATCAAAGTATTTTATCTTACTTCTATCATAAATTTCATTGTTATTTTTGAATATAACAAGTTTGCCTGCAAGGGTTTTTTTTTTTTTCTGTTAATATAATAAAAATATTTTGAATTCACCTCAGTAGTTCAATTGAGGTATTGAAACATGCAAATTTGATCTATGGTATATATTTGAAATACATGTCTGAATAAAATAGAAATGATACATTTATTATCTACATGATAGCACTGTTCACATAATTTCCAAAATGTTATTGATGATGTCTTGATGTTGGATAAATACACACAAAAAAATATATTTACGTGTATCTCCCGTATTTTTATTCAGTTTACACTGATTTAAGTTACAGAAAGAGGATATTCATTTTTTGTGACAGGTTTAAAGCTTGTTACTATGCAATCATAGGGATGTAGAAACAGAAATTTTTAACTATAAGAAAAGGGAAGTTTTTGTTGTATGTACAGCACTTATAATGCTGGAAAGTGCCAAGGTTATTGCAGTTGAAAGCAAGGTGATACTTGCATATGTTATGTAATTTTTGTTTTCTAAAATAAAGCTGTATCTGTTGCACTTTTCCATTCATCTGGAATCTTTCAAAGCTTTTACTTAATTAAGATATCCAGCTTTACAGAGTAAAGGATACAAAAAATATGTCTTTGGGGACATAAATATGTCTTTATAGCTTACTCTTTGAAGGAATTTGGGAAGGAAGAAGTATTATTTATCCTTTTTTGTTGGTGTGATGCCCAGTAAAAGTAAATCAAGTACACCTCCAGCATTTGGCTTTCCCCAAAGGGCTCGCTAGTTGTATAAAAGTATATATTAAATATACATAAATATAAATGGGAATAAGTGAGTGTATATAAACATGTGCTCTGAAATGTGTAATACAGTATGTGCGTGTTATTTTAATAAATGCAGAAAAATATTTCTGATTGAATCTAGTACCATAAGAAAGAACATCTCATTGCTTACCTTATACATACTAAAAGCTGACTGGTTTAGGCGGTCTGCTTTCTCAAGGCAATATCTGGCCTTTGAAAGTCAGAAGTATCTATGTAATGTGGAAAGATTAAAATACTGCAGCTTCATGAAGCTGGAAAGGGTATGTTTACTTTAACATTGTATTTTTAGTGATTTGGGAAGCAGTCTGATTGATAGCCTGTAACCTGCAAGACATGCTGTTTGTACTTACTGTTACTAAAAAACCTTGTCTATAATATAACCACTGTGGTTTCAAAGACTGAGTAAAACTAACCACAAATAATGAGTGTTGTAAAAACATACATTCTGATGTTGCTAATGGTCGCATTTATTGCAGTAGTGCCTACAGATTGTCTAAGAATAAGACGAAATTTTTCTACATGCAGATTGGCAGAAAATCTCTGCACAAACCAGTTTGCAATCTAAAGGGATGAGACAGATACATAGCAGGAGATGGGGATTTGCCATTACGAGTAAAGTGATTAACATGACAACAGTAAATACGGTGATTTTCCCGTTTTCTCTGGTTTCATTCTTTTACTTAAGCAAAGACCTCCTCAAAAATACACTGATAACTTGGGTACGTCATTGTAATTTCAGTATATATGAATACAGTGCTGCGGCAGATACTCTTTTATTTGAATTGCTTTGTTGTTTTTTTTTTTTTAAAGCGTTTTAATAATACTTTTGTGTTTCTTCTTACAATTTCTGCTATTTATTTAAAAATGTACGCATAAAAATAGTTTTGAGTGTTCTGTAACACAGTATCTCTTAAGCACATCGGATTGCCTGAACTATGAAAATTTGAGAAAATAGCTGAGCTGGTTTGGTTGGTAGAAAGGAGCAGAACTGGAGGAAGAAAAGAAAAAATACTAAGCTATTTGCCAAAAAGAGACTTATTAATATGCATTTGTATATTCTTTAAGAGAGAACATGCCACTGAGGTCACTTTGGATGTGAGGCACTTGAATTTTTCCTGATTATTCTAGTTTTATTTATGAAAGAAAAAAAAGGGGATACAGCGGGTTAGCCAAGGGCTTAGTGACACTACTACTAATATTACGTGGGAGTTAGTTTGGCAGAGAGTCAGAAAAGATTCTTGCACGCTGCAATACTGACATAGCAGTGTATATCTTTTAAGTGCCTGACCCTTCAGAGGAAAATACAGTTTGAAATTAGGCAGTAGTGTCCCTATGCAATAGCAACTAATGGGAGAAATAATCATCTCCTTGGTAAAAAGTTACATTATATTTTGTGGATTCTATTTTGATGTGGGAAACCTGAATTTAGCTGTTTTCTCTTGGTTAGATACCCAAGTCCCTTTTTGAAACTGGGCTTTTCTGGTTTGGCTTAGTAGTGGAAGGTTGACGGTTTTGAAAAACTTGAAGCAACAGATTGTTCTAATCCATAGTAATTTTATCAGATGAAGGAAAGCAAATTTAAAAGCATGTTCAATGGAGGCTGGATAGGACTGCAGTGAGTGTGGTATAAAGAACCAAAGACTGTAAGGGAGTAAATAAGGAGAGATTTTCAGAATGCCATAAGCAATTCACAGAATTCCTAGGAGGAATAAAAGAAATGCTATGCTAAATAAAAATTTTGAAAAATGCCTGTGCAAATAGGAAGTACCAGAGTACAAGTATTTAACAATATGAAAACGGGACAGCGAATGACATTCACAAGTTGCTGAGTTTATGAGGCTGCACATAAATCTATGACCCAGAACGAAAGCTACATTTTAGGAGAGATCTGTGCATGCAGTCCTAGTAAAATCAAAACAATTATGCAAGGACAAAGGCATCTTATGTTCATGAATGTTGCTATAATATTATGGTTTACAGTAATGTTTTCTGTTTGAAAATTTAACTCTAATGCTGTAACGATTAAAGTAACCTTTCTCAGATACAAAATTGGAGAAAAAGGAATGGAAAATATTTTATGGAAACATAATTAAAAATTACCTGCAGCTTAATACTTTTGTATTAGTAATCTGTCTATTTTTAGTCTTCCAGTCTTCAGGCAGAAGTCATCTGTGAGCATGATCTCTTTAAAAATCTTGCAACACTCACAAGTTAAGAAAATCTTGGATTTACTTGCAGTCTGTCAGAAATTGTTGCTTTGCCTTTGTGCGATGTTTTTGATACAATAGTATTTCTTGTGACTTGTGCCCTGATTTTGTTTGCTACCACAAGGAGTCTTTTGTTTCAAACAAAACCTTGCGGTTAATTTTCTGCTAGCTCTTTTCATGAAAAAGGAAGGTCACGGCTTATAGCATTTGTATTGTCACTGCAAAGGACTGTACAAACTGTTCCACGGACCAGGATGTTTCTCTGATTAATTTAATGCTTGCTACATGCTTTTTAAAGCAATATTTTCCTTTTTACAGTTTCAGTACCCTGTATGTTATGTAGATACACATATAAGGCTTGAAACACATTTGTGAAGTTAAATTACAAAGTTACTTTAATTCATGTTTCCGTAATTAACATGAAATTAGAATCAAATGTAAAGGCACATTGAATAATTAGTATATAATTTTTAAATTTGTGCAGCATTGCTGTTTTCTAAAGTACATTCCTTACAGCTGGTGCTATCATCAATTTAGTAGTAAAATAGTATAGTATTTAAGTAAGACTTCACTTTAATGCAGTCCCCTCTATATTTATCAGTGGCAGGTACTGATGCAGATTTTTACTCATCAGTTACCCACATAGTTTTTTATATCATAAGCATTTTAATATGTGGGCATGATACAGTTGTTTGACATTTTACAATTTGTCCTTTGTTTGCATGCAGCGAGGAGTTATGGGCGAAGACGAGGTAATTCACTTCTGTTTGTTACAGTACAATTAATTCTGATTGAGCTGTTACTGATCATTATGATTAATTACTCCAATTTGTTGATTATAAACTCTCATTTGCATGTTTTCTTAGTCTGGGGATATGGAGGGTGTGAGGGAAGAAGGGATGGGGTCTCGTTTTGTTTTGGTCATTGATCTCTTGGCAGTAAGTTTGTACTACAAATCCTTTAATCAGTTAAAACGCTGTAGCACTAATCATGATTTAGTTAATGCTAACAGCTACTGCTTGCAGAATTTTCCCTGTTAAAAGTATACAGTTTGCTAGTTGTTCTTGTTTTTTTTTTTTTCATTCTTTTGTTTCTTTATGTGTGGTAGTGTGTAACATTCAACTAAAAGCCTTTCACGGACTTAGTCAGAAATTTATTAAACAACTCTTAGAAACAGTAAACAGAATTTCGTGGTATAAAACAATATATGCTCATTGACCTTAGGAAAGCTCTACTGATTTAACAAAATGAAACTATGACCTATGGTTGTTACATAGGCTATGTGAAGTGTGCAAGAAAAAAGATCAAGATCCTTTGATAGCTTCAGACACTAGCATATGCTTAAATTCTTGTCTACATCTTTCTTGATATCTGCATCAGTACATAAATGACTGCTTGGTAACCTTATTTTAAAGAGAGGTGTGATAATCTAGGTAATAGTCTAACTGTGTAATAATGAGATTGTTTTTACAGTTCCTGGTAGATTCTGCTTAATTCATCATGCTAAATCCTGAAAAATACTACTTGAAATTAGTAGTAAATATGTTTTCCTTGATTATGTATAATATTTAATTTGGTATTTGTTAGCCTGTTTTGTGAGCAAGAATAAGAACCACTTCATTCAAACCATTACTTTCTTGTTTCTATCTATTATTACTGCATTTACAAATTTCTCTATTTACGTATTAAAAAAAGAAATGAGTGCTTATAAGGGACTTACCCTTTTATTTCAGAACCTTTGGGAGAAAGTTGAAAGCGTAGAAAACTACCTCTCTGCTCCCTTTAGGTGAGAGACATATAAAAGGGAAGAAGAAAGAGAAGGAAGTATAAGGAGACCTATACAGCATATTACTCTAAATGTGTTAATCCATTGTCCTCTAGGTCATCTTAGCTCTCTGAGGAGCTACAGCCTTTTGGCAGACTTTCACCCATAGCAAAGTAATACTGATCTCACCGATACCAGTTCAGAATGCTTTCTGATGGTTTAATTTGCAGTGGCAGCAGAGCCGTAGATTCTCATCATTCTTAGATTTTAGCACTGACTATGGAAAAAAATCTATTCTGTAGATTATTCTTTTGTTTTGTTTTCTCTATATACTTGTGTATATTGTAAATCAGAAATGGAAACATCTAAGACATACTTCTAGAGAAACAAAAATATAATTTTAATGGTGAGTAAACACAAGTATAAATTGTGTATTTTTTAAAATATGCCAATTTTAATAAACTTTTTAGCATTATACTATTGTGACTAAAGCATTCATAAATTTTTTTAAGTCACTTAGCATTTTGTTTCTCTTCCTGCAGTAGAAAACCTTGTAGATGTAGAGAGTAAAACTATGTGATTTTTTTTTACGATAACAGAGCTAAATTATAGTCATTTTAAATTTAAGACTTCAAGAGTACCTCTCGCATATTAGTGAAAAGTCTTTAAAATTCACTTTCAGAGTTTCCTGTGAATTTCCCAGTTTGAGGGAGTGTTGACCAACTGTCTGAGAGTTTTGCTCTGCCGCCTCTTTCTTTTAGCCGTCTATTCCTTCCCCTATATGACGATGGTAACAGCTCAATCTTCTCCATCGTTCAGATCAGTAATTTAGAAAACCATTATTTTATCTCCGTTTCTTGACTGTGTATTCAATTCTTTGTATACAAACATAAGATCAGACTTTTCTTATTAGTCTTCATAACTGAAACTCACATCTACGTTCCTCAGCTGCAGCAGTTTTTTGCTTCTTGAGTCTTGATAGCATGGTCTTGCTCCTGCTATAACTGAGTAGATCACTAACAGAAACAGTCTTCTCAGCTTCTTGTTTCAACTGTGTTAACTCGTTCTATGTTCCTACATTGCTTCCTCACTTTTCTGCCCCATTAAGCATGAACTACTTGTTTTCACTTTTAAATGTACTCTACCCATTCTGTTATCAGGCTATTGAATGCATCTTTATGATGGCAAGCAAGGATGCCGTCACTTGCTACCTGTTAGCCACGTTTCCAAACAAGCATGCCACCGTTCCTAGAGGAAAGGAGGAGCCTACTGTAATTTTCTGCATTTTGTGTATTCCTCTCTGTCAATCACATCTCTACTTAAATTATAAATGTGGGGCACCAACAGAAAATATTGTAGTTAGTGCCTTTGTTACTTTAGTGCATTCCCTGCTTTTATTTTGTGATCCTTATGACATTTTATTATGTTTTGTTGGTGTCTGTCGTTTTGTGTTTTCATTCAATATTTTTGGTGGGTTATGGATTCAGAACCCAAATTAGAGCCAGGAAGCATTACCATAGCATAGGTCAATATTAGTCATGATGTTTGCTATCTTTTCCTCACCCTTATCTTTAGGCACTTGATTCTCAGGTGGTTTTCCAGAAATGCATGTCTTTCATATTGCGCTCACCCATAGCAGATCAGTGCAATTTCTGCAGGCGTTTCTAAGGGGCTTTCCTGACGGCATTCCCCTGAGAGGGGAAGAAAGTTACAGACTGTAGGGTGGATCGCAGCTAACACACTGCACAGTCCTGCTGTCAGGGACCTACTGCTCCTGCCTATGGATTTGCAGTGGGAGAATCTGGAAGAAACAGACTATTTGAGGTGGAAAATGAAATTATTTACCCAAAATGAACTTTTTTGGGGGGAGGGGGGGTGTCGAGGGGGAAGCAGTTGAATCAATGACAATTTTAAAAATGAGCGAGGGGGAGACAGGAGAAATTGCACTTGAGAGTTAATGGTGATTTAGTGTTTTTATTTTACTCCACAAAAGTAGGTCCCTTTGGAGGTTTTTGCAGTTAAAAACCATCCTCTGAATTTGAAACTGTCATTAATCTTTATGCTGTTAATCTAAAGCAGTGGCAGTTCGAATAAGATAAGATGCATATCCTGGCCTTCAGAATCCATTGTTTTGGAGTTTTCTAAAATTTGTAAAAGTAAAAGATGGGATGAGGGGAGGAGGCACGCGCATGTGTGTGTGAGACGGAGAAGGAAAGAATTACTGTGTTTTCACCCACCCCCGCGTCTTTACGAACGTTTTGCAATTGCAAAGTCATCCTGTGGACAGTTCAGATGTTTTATGATTACAGTAGCTTTTCTGTTTAAACACTTCTGCATGGGATAAGGCATGGAACAGCAATCCCTGAAATGCCTGCCTTACATTGTCTTAAAAAAAACAATAACACTGTTATCTCACTCCAGATTGCTATATGTTAGGAACCACTGAAAGGCTTCTCTCCAGAACTGTGGCAAATTTGAGAGTGCGAAGGATAAATCAGCCTTGTAACTCATTTCCAGTGTATTATTATGCGCGTGTGTTGAAATTCTCTTTTCCTTTCTTAGAAATTAAATCTGTTCTTAGTTAATCGGCACAGAGTCCTTTAATAGAAGAGAGAAAACCTATTTATCTGAAACTTTTTGCTATGTATATAATTTTCACTTTCCCTCTGTTCAATTAAAGTGTAAGACATTTAAACATGCAATAGTAGTTCATGTGGTAGAAGTTACTACTTTAACTTGAAGCTAAACCAAAGGCAGACTAATGAAATTCATTTAAGCAGCTCTTAATATTATCTCTTTGTAAATAAGAATTTTTATTTAAAAACAGATCATTATTTTCCTAGTGGATAAAGCAGAGTAACTGCAATATAATTTGTATGAAGGATTATGCTTGTAGTGACATCAGCTTACAATCTTGAATTTCCTTTCTGAAATTTAATGCTTTTTTGTGATTTTAATTTTTTCTTTAAACTAATGTATACTTTCCTAGTACCTTGCTACTTTCTTTTCTACTTTCCATACTGCTATTCCCCTGTTCGCTAAAATTACATGACCATGTACTGTCACAAAATTGTTTTAATATTTATTGTTATTTTCCCTTTCTTTTCTTTTAAAGGACGTTCTTCCCTCTTCCCAATAGACGATGGTTTGCTGGACGATGGTCATAGCGATCAAGTTGGAGTCTTGAATTCACCTACCTGCTACTCAGCCCATCAGAATGGGGAACGAATTGAGCGCTTTTCTCGGAAAGTGTTTGTTGGAGGTCTTCCACCAGATATCGATGAAGGTGAGCTTCCTGAAAAGTAAGCAAACTAAGTTTGGAGGAAGGGAGAAGAAAGGGTTTGAAAGTTCTAAATGACGTAGCGGAGAAAGTCTACCCTACAAAATAATGTTATGGTATAAAAGGCTACAACCACATTTCTGGTGAGAGTTGATGGGTATGTAAAGCTTAAGATAATTTGATGTCATCTCCCTCTTTAGTTATTTTTGCGTCTGCATCTGCAGGTTGCAGAGTTCCATAGGAAGCCTGGAATTTGGGTTCATGCTTAACCTGCAGTGCTGTGAGAGTGCATATTCCTTTCAAATACATCTTAGCCCTCCATGATATCCTCTCTGTGCTCGCTTTGTCCTTTATTAATAGCAAATGACTATCAGTAATTGAACTTCAGATTCTATTTTACTATTACCTAAACATCTTAAAAGGATATTATTTCCATCATAAACAGAGAAACTAAGGCAGAGAAAGGTCAAGTGGCAGAGTAGCCATGTGATGCATTAAGTACAGAATGTACCACAGAAGCTCAGATTATTTCATGATGCAGCTGGAATTGCTTTGAACTGTACTGCTGATCTGAAGTAATCACACTATTTAATATTAGGATCCTCCTGTGCAGATAAGAGTAAATTATATGCTAGCTTTGTAATGTGGGCAGAAGTCCGTTTACAAGTTCAGTGTAATCTTAGAGTAGCTTGCAAACCAAATAAGCTGACGGTGGTTATCTCTCAGACATGGGAAGACTCTATTTTTTTGTTTCATCTTCATTGGAATACTCTCCTGCAATGTATTTAGGTTTTTTTTTTTAATATACTTTAGCTTTTTTTCTGTTTACTGTAGCTTCAATTTCAAATATGCTCTGTAGCTTCCAATTCAAATACTAAACAAAGATAAATGGAAAAAAATTTCTTTTCTCTTTCCTGGCTGTTTATATGCTGATGGTGGGATGCAACTGAAAGAAACAAAACACACATGTCTTTGAGGAGCATTGCCCCTGTAGGGTTTAGGGTTGCTTTATTTTTCTTCCTGTCTGAGGGCTTTAAAAGCAAAGGATAGGAAGGAGCAGCTGGGGTAGCAAAACATCACAAAGCTGTGCAGGGGACATGGTAGGCCCTGTAGCGGGGCTGTTGATGGTTACTTTAGAACCACCTCTAACTAGGCAATTTTAGTTTTCATGCCTGATCTGTGCATGCTGTCTGCTGAAAAGTTCAAGCATACTAATTGTGAAATACCATACCAATTTGACCTACTATCTCTAGTTATCCGTATACTTCTGAAATACTCCTTTTATTAAACAATACAAGACAAAATTAGCTTAAAATCACTGAAGACATACTATGTAAATAATAAGCCTTGGAAAATGTATCTTTTTTTTAAGTTTTTGTTCATAAAATTTGAAGCTGTTTCTGGAAAGGATGACATTTCATGGATAAAAGGAACAAAGATCTTCGATACTACTTTTTCATTTAGTTATAAATGTCTTTTATTTTAATTGTGACTGTTATACCTGTGTTTTAGATGAAATTACTGCTAGCTTCAGACGATTTGGGCCATTGGTAGTCGACTGGCCTCACAAAGCAGAAAGCAAGTCCTACTTTCCACCTAAAGGTAAGAGTCTGAAGGTTTTGGCCTGTCGCTATAAATACAAATCTTACTCTGGGAAACTCTCTCATCTTTTTCCAAAAGGTATAATTTACAATCCCTATGAGCAGTTAATTCAACAATTGCTATGCAGGTTCAGGCAAGGCTCCTTTACTACATACCAAGTCTAACATCTGAGACAGTTGTTTTAGTATTGTGCCTGGTTCAGTGCTGGACTTCTGAAGAATCTTGCATATTCTGATTTCCCAAATACCAGACCAGTGGTGTATAGTTATTTCTGTCATTAATTTAAAGGTCTATATTTGTGTGTCTGTCCACTCATTAAAACTGAAATTTGGTCAAATTTTTAAGGCTAAATTTTACGTACAAATTTTCATTGAAAGTTACAGTCAGGTTTCTGAACTTTAAAATGAAATAGCATGTATGGCACACTCATTGGTTAAGCTTGATGTGTTGCCACAGATTAAGATATAAACTGTGCAGGGAATAGAAAAATGCAACTCACTTCTGAAATCCAAAGTTTTAGTACACCGTAATAGATTTGGAATTTATAAATATGCATGTATTTGGATACTCATTTAATCAATTGAAATACTCGTGCCAGGTTTCTCAAAACGTTTGCTTTTACCAAAAGCAAAATAATAAAAGATATACCAAAATACCAAAAGATATACTTGGATATTTGATCAAAATATCAATTTTGTATTTATTTCAATTTTATACTGTGAACTTGAAGCGCTAATTCTTGTTTTTGACTACTGATTGAATATTGATTTTAATTATTTCTATCATTAGAGTTCGAGTGATATTCAAAATCTAGTTTTAAATGTTGGATGAACCGTATTGTACTGTTAGATCATCTAAATTATTCAGCATATCTCTGTACGTGTACACTCATGTATTGAAATATGTGCAGTAAATGCAAAAATCTGTTCCAAATATGAAGACAATGTGGAGATCATTCAGTTTGTAGTGAATATAGCAATTCATCCATTCCCTGAAGTGGCAAAAGTAAGCAGAGTGGTCAGGTAGGCAATTGAACAACCAGTTCATAAAGCCATCTATGCTGGGAAAAAGACAGAGGTGATATAACAGATGACCCTCCAAAGAGTGGGAAAATGAGTTTAAAGTCTTTGAATATTATTTATGGCTACTGTATGGAAATTCTAAGATAAATGAAGAGACTTTGACTTTTTTAACTGGTCAGGCAGATCCACAAAGCTCCTGTCAAATTACCTTCAGTTACCCTAAAGAATGTATCTACGCTCACAAATTACCAAGAGAAATTATTGAGGAACTCTTTGAGGAAGATGCAACTCACAAAGTCTGTGATGAATCTAAGAAAGCAGGAAGATCTAAAAATAATCAATTCTAGCATTAAGTTCCAAGGGGTTCCATTAAGTCCTGTCTTAGATTCTGCACATCTTATGGAAATGTTTCCAGACTTTTTTTTTTTTTAAATACAGCTTTTTCCTATAGTTGGAATACTGATAATTATCCCACTAAAATATTCTGTATCGTAAAGAGAATTTCTTCAAAGCAGAGAATATAGATAGAATTTTCCTCTATTGATCTAATTAACTCAGGAAACACTTAGATACTAAGAATTAATTCGATACATGTGACTAACTGATCCATATTTGATATTTAATAACTTTTACTATTTTCTACTCCTTTAAAATTTCTAACTTACAATATTCTGTTGTGATGCAGCAGGAGCCTAACATTTAAAATATAGTGTAGGTTTATCTGTGTAGGTACTCTGCAAACACAGTTTACTATTAACTGTTGAATAAAACTGTGTTTATATCTGCTTCTTTCAGTGCAACAGATGTGGCCTGCGATTATTTTGTAGCAGACTCTCATAGAGATCTGTGTCTTAAATGCTTAGGTAGTATTCACTTGTGCAGACAAGAAACCATGTATATATTTACTAAGATAACTAAAACTGCTCAAAATAGGTTAAATATTAAGAAAACTTTGAAACTGATCAATAATTTAGCAATATTAGTGATATATCCTCTGTTAGCACAAGGAGTTAATTTTTTACCTATAATCGGAAATCTTTAATTTATTAATCAGTATGAAGTTAATTCCATTTGTATATTTTTGTTTGTTCAGTCTTACTAGAGATTAGGCACAGTATTCCTTTCCAAAGAAGTCTCAGAATTATCCAGTTGTGGGCTGACTTATGTAATAGTTTTCTCTGTGGTGAAGAGGTATAGCATGTCTTTTTGTTAGCCTCTTGTTCAGTTCTCCAGGCTGTGCTTGCTTCCAGGCTTTCTGCTTTCAGAAAGTCCTGAGGGAGGGCCAAGTTTATAATAAGCGTTTCCTTGCTTAAAGAAATGCAAAAAGTATCCTGATCCTTCAAGGCTGCTGCCTCCTGAGAAACACCAGTGGTTCTTTCTTAACCAATTACATTTTGCATCAGTTCACCACAAAATTAGGCCTAAATTAAAAAGAAATTTTAAAACTTCAAGCTAATCTTACCAGGAAGCTCTACTTAGAAGCAGAAGAAAAAAGATTATTCTGTTAAAGTACAAAGTCCCAAAGTGATCTGCTAACTCTAATGGTGAATTCCTTCCTTTATATCTTGTCACTGCTTACCATAATTCCTATCTTGACTTAGTTGGCAAATACTTTTATTTATGAAACAACACCTGTGTTCAAAGGAGGTTGCTTAGGTGAGGACTCTGTTCTCACAAAAATCAAACTCTCAAAGAACTCTCGCGGTGAAGATATGCCAGTCCAAAGGAGGTCAAAAATCTGACCTGTTGTTTGTGTGTTCTGTCTATTTATAGTCAGTGTCAAACATAAGATAATCTGTTTTGAACAAGGCAGTATCTCCAATTTTTTCTAATTATCTAACCGTTTCTGTTGCATTCTATGCCAGTAGTTACACAGTGGCTTGATTTATTGAAGATTCCTAACTGCTAGTTTAGAATTGACTGAAAAATTAGGTTGAAAATGTTCTGTTTCCACTTGAAGGAGCAAAGCCCTAGGTCCGTCTGAGTTCTGTTTAACTTGTTACCGGCTTATTTGATCGCCCTGGGTAGGACTGAGCTCTGGATCCAGGCAAGTAACTGTAGGTGTCTTCATGTGTGATTAGTGTCTAAGCTTCCTTTAATCAATGGGAATCCAGCCAATACAGTTAGTGGAGTATAGAGGGCTGTTCAGGTCACCACAACATAAGCACATTGGGTTTGATTTATTTACCCAAACGTAGGATAGCTAAAAGATTTACACAGGGATGGCAAATCTGACGCGGTACCTGTTGAAGCCCCACACCATTCTGGAACAGCAGCTGAAGGTTAGGCAGAGTGCTATCATACTCGATTAAAGGTTAAATCATACTCGATGTCCCTGTGTCCCACTTGGTCAGCGGAGCAGTCCAGATGCCACTGAAGGCATTAACTGGGTCTCTGTTAACTATAGTAGGAGCTTAAACACCTTTACTCTAGAAATATAGAAATAGGTGTTTGGGTCTTGAAGTGAATCCTACTCCCTTTATTCAAAAGTACTGTAGCTAATAGCTAGACAACAATTGTGTCAGCATGCCCTTTTTCACTTCCGATATTATTTAGAGTTAATTCCCAATAAAGGATTGCTAAACTGAGTGAGTAAAAAGATTTATGTTTGAAAGAATAATTGAAGTAGTGTTGGGTCTCTTTAAAAACTGCATGTCCTTCCCAAATGTTATTTATTCCCAACATCAAATATAAATACATTGTCTGCATTAGCCTGTAGTTTACACTGTTTTCTCCTGATTTAAGCTAGGGCATGGCATTCTGGGAACAGGAATTGCACTGCACTGTGAGGCCGTTAACTCTGCTCTGGGCATAGCGTGTTAGAAAGAGGCACCAATGCCAAAACAAAACATGACTATTTTGACTGATATGGACAGTGTCGTGTTGGCTGGCAAATGCATTGTTTTTCCTTATCCCTTCTCTAAGCCTCTAGGGATAGGAATTAATTGGAGTTTGGTAGAACTTAAAGCATCTCTTTCCGATTTCTCCATCAAAATATGCAGAACAGAAGAGGCATCTTTCTCCTTTCAGTAAACTTCCATTTTGCTGTAAAATAAAGACAGCGTACCTGGCTCAGAAAATTGTTAGCCACCAATGAATCTAGTCTAGAATCTTGTGCTGTTGCTTTGTTCTCTATGTAATACATATAGAAAAATGAAAACACTGATTCTGTATATAGGTGCGGGGGAGAGGGATTAATTCTTATGAAGGTTTAATTCAGTAATGCAGCTAGATTATTAAAATTTATCTCATGTGCTTTCTACTACCATTGCTCACCCACTACATTAAATAGAAAAAATATTTAATTTCTTGAAGTCTCTGGAAGACTTTTTTGATCAGTAGAGGTATCAACCCAGACTAAGGGTGATTATAACCACTGCTGTATCTTTAGATATCGGGAAATGTAGTTTTAAAGTCAATTATCATCTCCAGAATTATTTACTTATTATTTTGGGTAACTTTCTGAGGATGCTATTACCAAAGTCACCCATACTGCTTCCCTTTGAAAAAATCAAAGTGGAGTTCCAGTATTTTGCAGAGGAATTCGGTCAAGTGGTTCTCTTTAACACTAACAGGTTACCTACCCTTTGTGTCTCACAGAAGGCATACATTCTGGTAGGGGTGCACAGGAACAACAAATCTACTTTCTGTCACATATGGTAATTGTAATTCAGTACTACTCCAAAAATACTAGTTTCGCATTTGGTCATCATCCCTATGCGCATGACTTACCTCCAGACTAGCTTTGCAGGCATTGAATATCCACGATAGTTAATGAATTATGGACATTGAGGAGAAAAATAATCTAATAAAGATATATATTGAGAAATCAGAAAGGGGTAAGAATTAAGCTTGAGCCATATAGCTGCTGGCATGTGGTAGCTGTCGTAACAGCAGGAGCCCTATTTTCTGTCTAACTGAAGTACCTAAGATAAGAGCATAATTTGCTTGTGCGAGCTCCGTCTAGATAATGCATAGAGAGTGCGGATGCCTGTGTAACTCTTTGGAGGAGAGTTGTTCTTTGGAGAAGTTTGTGGCTAATTTATACTCAGTTTGTGCCAGGAAGTGAATCCTGGTTCATGGGAAGTGATGAAGAATGGTTTGTATTCTGACTGTTTAGAAGGGATTGGCCATGTCTTTGATGACTTAAAATGTCTGTTTGCAATCAGAAATTGCCAGTAGTTAAGTAGTACCTCTCAGAAGAAGGGTATCATTTCCAAAGGCTTTGTAAAGCAGCTACACTGCCTCTTGCAAGCTCACCGCAGAGCAACTGCTTCAGCATTTACTTTTAGTTCCAAACAGTAAAATCTAACTTAGTGTGAAAATTTCACACTCGTTATTAATCTGAGAAAGAAACATGGATTTATGGTTCTTTTAAAATCCATTTCAGAATGCAACCTTAATTGCACTATCAGGCACCTGTAAAGTAAAAAGTTTTATATGTGTTATTAAACTGTGACCATCAGAATATTCAGAAGTGTGAGGTTCTTCATTTGTCTGACTGTTTCTACTGTGGAATTAAATAAGTATTTTAATTCCTATTTTTGTAGTGTTTGAGAGGCTTGCTGGGTCACTTATGTAACACAGTGCTTTGATCTAATCTCTAGAATTGAGATTAGTCCTTTGTGCCAAGTCGGATTTTCATTGTATAATGTCCGGTGCTGACAGTGAATTGTGCTTATCCTAGATTTCCAGTATATGATAGAGCAACCATGTTTGCTTTTATTTGATTATTAGACTCTTTTGACAATTTTTTTAAGAAAAGAAATACTTGGAGTTCTGTTGAAATTAATTGACCATGTCAAAATAGTACATACGTGAAAAAGATGGCTGATCAATAAGCAAGTAACTGATTTGACTTTGTCACTTATGTTTGTAATAAACATTTTCTTACAGAGAAGTAACCGGTGAAGAAGATTAAGGAAAGGTAAGAAAAATGAAAACTCAATCTTTTTTTTTTTCTTCTTCTTCTTCCATTTTTCCCTAGGTTATGCATTCCTCCTTTTCCAAGAAGAGAGTTCTGTTCAGGCACTGATTGATGCCTGCATTGAAGAAGATGGAAAGCTCTATCTATGTGTTTCCAGTCCTACTATCAAGGACAAGCCAGTAAGTAAACAGTAGATGGCCTGCAGGCTATAGCTGCCATCTGTCTAAAGCTGCATTTGAAATGATGATGATGAAAATAATCAAAAGCAAACTACCGTTGGCAGAGCTCAACATCTGGAACAATTGGATGATTTTAAAATGGGAGTGTTTTGAACTAATAGGATTTAAATAGAGCAGCTAGACATTTTAAGCTAATGGGGTTGTGACTATTTGACAGTTTAGATGATGAACATATGTCTATAACATGGTGAAACTTAAAGTAGCATACCATTTTCTTTTCCTGTTTGACAGGTTCAGATCCGTCCCTGGAATCTAAGTGATAGTGACTTTGTGATGGATGGTTCCCAGCCTCTTGATCCTCGAAAAACAATTTTTGTTGGAGGAGTCCCCAGACCATTAAGAGCTGGTGAGTATAAACTGTGGCTATATGTCGAGGTAGGAGATTATAGGAAATACTTTGAACTATGCATATTTTGTGTGTGTGTTTGTATATATGCATACACATATATAAAAATAGAAGACTGTCTTGATAGCAGACTATCCACAGTACTACAAAATGTTTCTCTGATGTTTCTCTAATAATTCTTATACACTATCTTTTGCCATAAATCACTGCTCATCTTATTAGCAAAACCATAATGCAAATGATGTCACAAGAGTTGAATTTTTAAAATAGTGCTATAAAAAAAAACCTCTCTGACATGCTACATTAGTGTGTAGAGCTCTAATTTGTACTTGCTTGTAGTTGTGCATTTGTCACTCTTCTACTACTACCACCAACTTCTAAGTTAGTCAAGATAACATGGATAAAGCAAAAACACAGATCTTGAATACTCGAAGGAGAAAGTAGAGAAAGGAAATCTGAGAGCTAGTCCTTAGCCTGTATGAGGCAACACTATATGAGATTGCAGTATTCTTTTTAGACCCTTGTGGGAACGCATGGAGGAAAATTCAGATGTTTCTGTAGCTGTCAAATGGTTAATCCACAGCCTGGACGATCTGCCTTGTAGGATTGACTGCAGTGGCTTTGTATAATGTTTTGTGGTGGCCTTTCAGTAAATAGATTGAAGTGAGTGTTGGAAGTAGAAGCATAATATACAGTGTTTCAGATCCCAGTTTCTATTAGAATTATTCCAGGAGCTTATTAGTCTTCGATATTTTGTACTGAATTTTATTCTTACAGAAAGATTAGCTTTCAGATGGAAGATGCAGGAGAGCCAAAAATTGATAGTGCCAATTTCAGGTGTAAAGAATTTTAACTTTTTACGTCTTAGACCTGCAATGCTCTAGCTTTTTTGTCGTTTTACTTTTAAGATTGTACCTTTGACCATAATACTAGTTTTGTAATGTAGCATAAATACAGTATGTTCCAACTGCAGATTAGTTTTCTGTAAATTCAGTCCATATACTCGAGATTACTGTGCTAAATGTCTCTGATTAAATTTGATGGACACATTCTGATGCTTGTAACTTTAACATCTCCTGTATATGTGAAATTGAAACTTCTATGGCATTATGAAATAAAAGTCACGCCTTCACAAAAGCAGTAAAGCTTTAGCTGACTTGTCAGACAGCTATTGAACTTTGTTGTCAGCTGACACCTTTGTACCTCAGTGCAAAGGGTACCATTCTGAAAGATTTAAATACTCCACCTAAATGAATTGGAACACGCATTTACTAGAATGTTTGATTTGTAAAATTTGAGATTGTTGGTGCTTAAGTTTCTATGGGAAGTGTAGCACTGTAGTATCGTACTTCAAGCTCTGTGGGGCAAATGGAAAGATGCTAACTATATCTTTAAATTCAAGTAGGACATAGAGCATTTGGTCAGCCAGACAACATGTACAGGGGAATTTGTGGCATGTGGATCTATTTTACACAGCTTACATTCCATGCCTGCCCCCAAAAGTGTTCTGCTCTATTCCTCTGAAGAAAACTGCCCTGAAAGCTCAGTTCCAGGTTATCAAGGACTGCAAGGGCTTACAACTCCATCATTTCTTGGAAGGTTGTGACCACCGATGTGAAAGATCTGTCTGAGTATTTCATGATTTATTTCATGTGTTTGTTTATATCTTATTACATCAGTTGTTACATAATTATTAAAAATTACTTTAAAAAATATTTTAAATAAAAACAAATTATATAAAGTTTGTAAAAGAACACTTAAAATTAAAATTATTTTGTTTCCTTATAGTGGAATTGGCTATGATCATGGACCGTCTCTATGGTGGAGTTTGTTATGCAGGAATTGATACCGACCCTGAGCTGAAATACCCAAAGGGTGCTGGACGCGTTGCTTTTTCCAATCAGCAGAGTTATATTGCTGCCATTAGCGCTCGGTTTGTTCAACTTCAGCATGGCGATATTGATAAACGAGTAAGTTATGCAGAATTAGGGTTTTTAAAAATATTTGTTATATGCCTCCTCAAATGAGTGTCCATCTATAACGCAGCTTCTCAGGATGCAATAACGTTACATTTTGATTAGCTCGTGTGACAAGTTTCTTGATTACATTTCTTGTAATAGTCCTGTAACTCCACTAGTTCCAAGAGTTAAACCGTGAATGCCCCTGAACAAAGAACATAGATTCCACAAAACAGCAGTTTGTTCCTTGGGCATGTGTTATACCATATGCTATTTCCATTCTAGAGAGTGCTCATGTTTTTGTTGTACATGGGGTAAAGGGCTTTCTCCTTTACTCTAAGGAAACCAAATTCCATGATGAATTCCTTTGTCATTCGTAGGAAACTGTATTATTTGTTATTTTCAGAGTTTTTCTTTATTTTCAGCTCCCATGAATTTCAGCTGTAATTGTCAGGGCTCAGCACTTCGGAACATCGATCAAGCTGGACACCTAAAATATGAAATGTCTTACCCTTTCTGTTGGAGAGAGTCTTGAGTATTTGCCAATGTATGGTTCTGATTTTGTTTACAAAAGCAAAACTAGCTTGATATTAGGAAGACTAGTAACAATTCATTGCTCGTAATTAAAAGTATGAGAGTAGCAAAGAAAACTGACATCCAAATGATGTCAGTTTCAAGTGTCACTAGTTTTGATGTTGAGAGCTGCAGAGATAGTCACTGGTATTAATAGATGTTCAATTAAAAAAAAAAAAAAAAAGGAATCTGAGAGGAAGAAGAGTTGAGTAAGTAGTTCAAGGTCCAGTCTCCTTTACAGATCAAAGACATGGGGAAAAAGAAAGTAGTACAGTTACACAAGTCTGCTGTGGGGAGACACTTCTACCTTCAAACAGGCAGAGGAGTACATCTCTCTCTGAGATACCAGTTGCCTAGTGAGCTGAAAACTCCAAACATGGTCCTTTCCAGAAGCTGAGTGGGCCCAAATGTGGGTAGTGAACTGGGCATGTTAAGATGGAACAGCTACATTTTGCTGATGCATTTCCTTTTCTTGTGTTTTGCATCACACTTTGGCTAAAAGTGCTACCTTTGGGCTCATTGTGTAATGGGGAAAATGGCTTTGGTGATGTGATTGTATGTGGGCAAGTAAGACTGTTCATGATCTTGTGTTTGAGTATTTGGACAAAATGGGAGTGAGAACCAGAATCCAGAATTTGTACTCCTTAAGAAATGCCCAGGTCAATGAGCTTCAGAATCAGGTATAGCTTAATCTGTTTCAGGCACCATCTGTAGCGCATTTTGGCTGTAAAGTGACTTAACTTTAATAGCAGCGGTAGACAATGGGTCCGTCCCATCCTAACTAGTTCACCCTAAAAGGTGGGAGACATGGACTTAAACCCTATAAACTAAAGGACATTTTTGTCTTGGTCTTCCTCTTCCCGTGAGAGTATTTCATACAAAAGATTATTATATGATAAATTGGTAATTTTGGTCTTCTAAGTGCCTGATTCCAGAGAGCAACCATCAGTTGTGCACCTTTATTTTATGTAAATACCTAACTTCTGCCTCCCTTCTGCCTTTCACTCCTAGCAGGATTTTACACATGCTTTGTTCTCTGGCCATTCTTACGGACTGTCTCCAACTCAACATGTTTCCTCTTGTGTATTACATTCAGGGCCTCTAATTCTTTCCAGTCACTATCTGCTTTACTTCTGTTTCTGAATTCCCTTCCCTGAGCTTGGATCTTAAAAATTCAGCATTTTGAGGCAGCTCATGTTCTGTGTGGATACGGGCTTTGTCTTTTTTGTGTTCAGCTGCCACCCACATAATTAGGTTAATATAACTTTCCTGCCTTTCATTGGTGTTGTAAGGATAAAATACACCAGAAACTTGAATAGTATAGTGAGATGGATCATAGGTGAGCAGTATGACTGGTGGTTCAGTTAGTATCCAGTTGATAATAGTAGCCTCAAATGAGGTACAAAATGATGCATGACTCAGATATAGTGTAAAATGTACTTTATAAGATCTTTCTTAAGCCAGTAGAAATTGTTTTAAAACCTGTGGCTTTTTCCTCTGCTGAAGTGTATTGCTAACAACAGTTAAAACTTTGAATATTGTTGTTACGCATGTAAATATGAAGTCATTTAAGCTCTATGCCCAAGCCCTCAGGTCTGCAGTCTCATTATGTTCTTATTTTGAGAGATTAGAAGACTTTGTTCTTCCTTTTTACCTATTTATATTTTATATCTTACATTTATATTTTATATATTTGTGTCACATACTGTCTTATTTCTGTTCTTTTTAACATAAGTCATACCATACTTTTTACTATTTCATTTAATAAGAGAGCTTTTTTTATGTGCCTAATAATTTTGATTTCCCATCTCTGAATCTCCTGTAATTCTGCCACAGGATGATTGTATTGCACAGTATTCACAATGAAGAACCTAGCAAAAAAAAAAAAATTGTATTCTTGTGTAATTTGCTATCTTTCTATACCTATCTTTACATCATCCTTTTTTGGATTGCGCTTCTCTAAGTTTTTCTTGGGTTGTTATAATGATGTCTTACGCATTTTTTTTTAACCTGATTTAGAACCATGCATGATTAAGTTAGGTTTTACATCTCCTTTATCTGATATTTTTTGAACGATTCAGTAGGTTACTTAGGGGCTCAGAATTCACACAGGCTTCTGTGGATTTGAGCAACCTAAATCATAACCTTTATCATCTGAAAACTCTGCCAGCTTGTTTTCTCCCTTTTCTTTCTAGTTCAATAAATAATATTAGAACAGATTGTTCCTTTGGAAGCTGGTTGCAACCTGTTGTTTATCTTTTATGTGATAATTCTGACGTTGAATTTAATGCAAGAAATTCTTATTTCCACAGTGGAGTTCGGCTGGCAGTAAAATGATCAAAGAGGCTAAATTTAATTATGTCCCCAGAAATCAAATTTTCACATGTCTTCACTATCTTTTGTTATTCATTGGTTGATATTGGAAAGCAAATTCATAGGTTTCATTTATTTATTTCATTAAAAGGAGATGCTCTTTCTTGGAACTAGTGTTATTGGACACTTCAGCTTAGAAAATTCAAGAGCAAGCTGGCATAGGGACAACCACAAAGACTGATGTTTTGCCACTCTTCCTGTTTTTTGCATAAAGCTAGTTAGCAAATTTAATTCATTTTTAATGCACCAAGTGTGACTGCTAATAAAGTTGGATGTGAAGGCTGATTCTTATGTTTCCGAAGAGAATTGGGAACCACTGGGAGAAGTTCTGAAAATCTTTCCAATAACAAAGTTCTGCTTACAAGTCTTTCTATCCTTCCTTTCCTCTACTCATAAAATAAAATAAAAACAACAGTTTTGTAAGCAGTTCCCCAAGGCTAACTTTCGCCTTGCACAACAAAATGCCTTAGCAAAAATTGGATGGTTGGTATTGGAGGCTGAAGATCCAAGTAGGTGGTTCTTTCTGATAGTTCACCAGAAATTTTGAGGGCTCTCTGGATGCTGAGCTAGCATCTGAAATGGCAGTGCTTCCTCTATGAAGAGAAAGTTGTATAAGTGGTTATGTATGATGCAGCACTGAAATACGTAAAGAGAAAAACAGAAGAAGTCTGCAGTAAAAACAGTGGGCATGTGCTGTGGGTCTCTTGTAGCATGAACAGGAAAAAACAGAACAGGTCTGGCCCAAATAGTAGAGTTCAAAAGCATGGGGTTTGGGTTATAACCATGAGACTTCATCTGTTCAACAGTAGTCAGGTATTTCTTCAATTACTCTTAAGTGAAAGAAAGATATTAAGATATTAAAAGATATTAAAGATATTATAGTGGAGAATCTCTGATATCCGAATCAGTAGATTGCCATTTATGAGTTGGAAGGGTTCTGGGTGGGGGGGGAAAGAGGGAAGGAGGTTCCAGGTTTTCTCTTCAAATATCTAAATTCTCACTGCTTCCTTTTTACTTATTATAATTCTTGATCTTTCTTTAGTATTCATTTTCTAATTCTTGAAAATTCATTTCTGACCCAGTATTGTCTCTTAAACCTTGTAATTTTGGCATTTTTATTAGCTTCCTTGTTTCTTCTTACTTTAAAAATGTTTATGACCTCTGAGACACTTCATTTGCAAAATGCAGTAATGCCACATCTAACTATTTTGATAAATTTATCTTTAAACCTTATCATGATGGGGAAGGTTTACTAACTTTTTTGTTTATTTACCAGAGTTTTTGAAGTCTTTTTATTTTTTTTTAAATTATCTTCTCTATATTTATGTTTAAGTAAATCATATGCTCAGTCCTAACTTTTTATATACTTTTATATATATTTATACAACCCAGTTTCTTGCATTACTGAGGAGTAATAGAGCAAAAACCTCTCTTTTAGTGAACGCCTAAACTCTTAGCTGTTTCTGAAATTGTAGAAAAGCGGTTTCCAGAAACAGATTTTTGTTCCGAAGAGTTATTAGACTAATGCCTCTGTGAGCTCTGAGCGTATTCTTAAATCAGTATTACTGCTGATTTGTAGATGAGAAAGCAGTTTATCTAAATCTATAAGCCACAGATTTTGCAAATGAGGAAGATGATTCTGCTTCAGGTATTGCTGTCATTTGAGATGTGTATACATGCTGGTCACTTTTAGCACTATATTAGCTATTTCTGTGAAGTCTTACAGAGACAACTGTTCTGCACTTCTCCTTAGTATAGCTGTTCTATATCAGTTATATCGAGATTCTGTAGAGTTGTTGTCTTTTCACATTTTTTCCATAACCAGCTTTGTCTGTGTAAAAGTCTTTTTTCATTGCTAAATTTTGCAGTTCACCTGTTATTCCTTCTGACCTTTATTTCAAAGCATTTTAAGGTTTTAGTTTTTTTAATCACATAACCTGTTCCTATTAATTGTAAAGCTTAGTATCACAATGACTTAACAGATGTTACATCTGCGATTTTTATTTCTTCCTTACCTATATACTCTTAAGCTTTTTTCAGTCCTTTTGATGCAGGTATGTTTATTTTCTCCAACAGATGGGTGCTTATTTTCAGTGAAGTGCTCCTCATCCTGTTTTATCATATATGAAAGCTCAGGTCTAAACACTTCCTTAAAACATTGCTAACTCTCACATGCCAGCAGTCTGGGTCCACTTCATGTAAAACTTGATTCCTCAAAGTGTCTGTGTAATAAATTTGAAATCATCCTGGTGCATCAGTGTACCAAGGCTGAAATTGATGCTGCTTCATGCCTTCAGTAATTTTGAATTACAGAGATAGTTAGTGCATGAGGTAGCTGTTTATTGGAAAGTTTGAGCGTAACTTGTGACAGGGCAGGTCATTGTAGTAAAATAATAAGTGGAGCTTGTACTATATGTACACTATTGGAAGAACTTGATTCAGCTACTTGATTTCAAACATATATGCTGTTGACCTGCCAAGTATGACATCTAGTTGTGAAGCTGAGAGCGTGAAGACTTTTCTCTTGTAAGACATTTGGGTGGTTGGGGTAGCTTTTTGTTGCTCTGCAAATAAAATGGAGAAAATGATATATTTTTTTAAGCTCTTGCTATTTCTCACATGTTCTGTTTGAGTATTGTACATAAGGTCAATGTTTATATGTAGGTTTCTTCTCAAGTAATGGTATCTCAAAAAAATTTTATAGAAGTGAGTTTTTCATGTAAACTGGAGGAAAATGTGGAAGGCATTTGACAAAAGTCAAAATGCTGTCATTAAAAGTGAGGAAAATGTGGAAGGCAGTAATACGTTCTTTAATGATGCAGTCAACTCATTCTGTATTTTATTATGAAGTTCTTCCTGTTTGAAAGCAGTCCGTTACAGTTCAGTTACAAAAAGCCATAATGCAAATTAACCACTGGGTTCCTGCCATTTTTCCACTCTGGCAGTCAGATGAGTTTGGAAGAAAGAAGCTATCTATGTAAGGTGTTTCTAGCAGTCTGTAGATTTGTAAAATGCTCTTTATAAACTTTTTCAGTAGTAGTACATTGTGTACATATATACAGCTCAAAGACAAAGAAAAGGGAAAGAAATAGGTTACCAAGGTTTACAGCCCCAAATTTAATTTACCTTATTTTAGAAATTGGTGTGGATTTACAGAGGAGTATACTCTAGCCTGCAGAAAGTAGCTTTAATTTGCACACCTAAGTAGTACATGCAGAGACAAAGTTATCCTTGTTTAAAAAGCGGGGGGGAGAAGGGTTAATGTCTAACTAATTACATTCTTGCATATTTAATTATTTTGCTAAACTATATAAGAATGAATATTATGTTGCGGTACATTTGGGAACTGATGAGATTAGTTCTGGGGAGCTTTGGGTTTGGGGTTGGTTTGTTTTCTGCAGATACTTCAATACTAACATTTTCCAAGAACATCTTTGCAGAGTAAATTAAGTGGAGGTTCTAATGTAGCCATTCATTACATATATAGTGTACACTGAAAAATCTGTACCTTCAAGTGTTTAGCTTTCTATATGGATAAATTAGTACCTGATAAATGATAAAAGGTAATAAATACTGATGGATTAGATTAAGGCACTCTGAAGCAACTTTGTTTATGGGGGATTGGAAATGTAAGTGTATACCTATTTATGTTTTAGAGCAGTTTGAAAGTGTAATTCATAAATATTTTTTCCATTGAAAGCTTATGGACAGTCTTAAGAGTCTCACTTCCTCCTTCCTGATTAGTTGGTTCTTGTTTGGTCAAGAGAATGACTCCACTTTTTAAGTGGATTTAAAAAAAAAAATTAATAGAAAGTATGTGAAACTTTTTAATGTATTCTATTATTGCCTCCCCATAAATATTCCTGATTTCACACCTTTTTTTTTTTTTCCTGAAAAGCAGAAAAACATAAACACAGTCGAGTATCTTTAAGCACTTAGAAGTAATAGGTATTAATGAGAATCATTTCTGTTTCACTCCAACAGGTGGAGGTAAAGCCATATGTGTTGGATGACCAGATGTGTGACGAATGCCAGGGTGCACGATGTGGTGGAAAGTTTGCTCCTTTCTTTTGTGCCAATGTCACTTGCCTGCAGTATTACTGTGAGTTTTGTTGGGCAAATATCCACTCTCGTGCAGGACGTGAATTCCATAAGCCATTGGTAAAGGAGGGGGCTGACCGCCCACGTCAGATCCACTTCCGCTGGAACTAAACATGGTGAACCAGCATCTACGTAAGGAAAGAAGGGTGCATGTGGCTTACTGTGTTTGAAGATACTGACATGCAGAAGAAATAAGTGCATTCTTCTGCTTTTCACCCCAGCTATCAATACATGCATCTTTATCAGCAGCCAAAACACTACAAGCCTCTTGTTTTTCACCAAAACCCTACATCTCAGGCTTACTAATTTTTGTGATATTTTCATGTTAAAATAAAATGTTTTTTTGTATTTTCTCCAAGTTATTTTTATATGTAAAGTTAAAACTAGATATGAGAATGTTTTTGCGTAGGGGCACACAGTCTGCTGCTATATTTAGTGGGTGAAGCGTGCACTTATTTCTAAACATGGGTTTTTAACTTCAAGATCTGCCCCAGTAATTTACCAAAGGTAGCAAAATAGTGAAGATGGAATATGTCTGCTACAAAAAGCTTATTTTTATTGTTGTTGCTATTTTCAGTGTATACATAAACTAAAAATTAGGGTTGATTTTTTGCTCTCCATTTTGACTTGCAAGAAATAATACCTCAAGATAATCTGATTTATTAGCTATTTTTAAACATTTTTAATCACAAGCTGTATTAGCTTTGCTGCTATATAGGTGTTATGTGTAATGCCACCTATTAATACGGGATTGAAACGTTTAAGACACACTGCATTACAGATAAAATGCAGGCAGCACAATATGGCTTAAACTGCCATAGTTTTAGAATGTGAAAAAATTGCATGTTTACTTACCTGTATACACCATATGCATGCACTAGAACTATTACTTAACAAGAGGTGAGTTATTGCAGATGTTCAAAAAGGCTCTCTTGAAACTAGGTAGCATGAGCAAATTTACAAAATTTGTTACAAAAGACAAACTTGCATGCATTTATTGTGACTGAAGTAAAAAAGATGTCCTACATGTGTACAATATGCAAATTAGTTTTAGACTAGAAAGTGCAGCCATTTTGTGACCTGGTCAGTAGTGGAATTCAATTTTATGCAGACTGGATGTAATATTGTAATCCCTGTGCAATTTTGTGATGTGTGCTTCTAATTAATGTGGCGTGATGTAGTATAGATACAAGTTTGAGTAAAAAGCTAGCATTTAAAAATTATTTTAAGCCCCCCTTGATTGTTCATGGTTAAGATTTCCTCTACAAACCAAAGATGGCCAGCACACTGCTAACCAGTCACCAAATGTGAAACCCATGACAAATGCATACAAAAATATACTTATATAAGAATGCGTAATGCTTTAGAAATTAAATCTAAGTAAAGTCAAAATGGAGAAGGTGTAATATACAGACGGCTAGTTGCATAACAAACTAAATTTTACCTTCAAGACAACAGTGAAATTTGGCTTAAAATCTTGCTTACATGTTTGACCTGTGTGCATTGTGGTCTTCTGTCAAACTGGGGTCACTGTTGCATGAAAAGTAGCTACTTGACAGTCAAGGATAGTGTTTTATATTTTAATGAAGGACTTCTAGTAATGACATTGCTTGCAGATTTTGAAAAACATACATAGTTAGGACAGAGGCAATATTTAACTGAACACTAAAAGAAAATCATAGCAGTGTTTTTGTCTATCTGAGAGCATTTTTTAATGCAACTAGCCCCTACATTTTAATGGAACAAGCAGTTATTCTGCAGTCTAAGCAAGCACTCAATGGTAAATGTTATAATGCAGAATTAAGAGCCTGACTCTAGAGTTGAAATTACAAGGGTGTTGTTCTTTGCAATCCCTTGGGACAATCCTTCATGTAAGCAAAGTGTTGATCTTATATTGGTTGTCTACGGTGTGCTTTTTTGTACTGTACAATATGTGGTTCATGTCTAACTCTGCTGTTTTATTGTGGTTGTGGTTCAAGTTTTTAATGTTTAAAGTTGATGCTGTTTTAAGAAGAGCTTTTTACTAATTTATTTGTCAATGTTCCCTATTTGTTACCTAACCATGATCCTCCAGATTTTTTGGAGTATTCTTTTCTAACCTTAACCCTGCCAAACCTTGATCCATTTTGACATTTGTTATGCACTATTTTTATATCTCTGTGAGAGATTTTTCCAACAGTCAGCTATTTTAAGGCACACTTTTTTTGACTGATGACATCTCCTTTGCTATACCTCAATTTTTGGAATTTAGAAAAGAAATCAGTAGTTTTGCAATGTTAATTATTTAGATATAATTTAATTCTGCAGATTTTTTTAAACTTTATTTTCATATTTTCTGCTTAATGTTTAAAATTGAAGAGCCTTTAAATATATTAAATAATGAACACTAATATGAAAATAGTACAAAAATGAAATAATTGGAGATGTTGAAAATTGCTTTCCCTGTTTAAATGGAACTACTTAAGTCATAGGGGGACAAAACAGGGATACCCTTTTTTGGCATGGGTAAAAATAACTGAAATGTCTGATTTTACTTGTTACTTCATTTCTGGAGCAATTCAAGTTACGGTTATCGTGCCCGGCACCACCTCCTTTTTTTCTTTTCTTTTTTTTTTTTTTCCTTTTTTATCTACCAAGTTCTTATTTTCTACCTGTTGAACACTGTATTTGATTTTTTTTTTTTTTTACAGATCATATTTATTTTGCTATTTTTGTAGAAGATTGCTCATTAGTTTGATTGTATTTTTGTATTTTTGAAGCTTCTTCACTTTTGTTCCCCAAATGTGCATATTGCTGCCCATGAGTATGACTGTGGAGGAAAAAAAAATACTTTAAAAATCCACACTTTTTGTTAAGAAGGAAACATTTAGCATTTATATATTTGTGTATGGAAAACACTTGATATTTTATCCCTGTTGCATCTGGCTGCACAAAGCCTCTCCTCAAAGATGCTACAAAACTTGAATATAACACATTTTGGAAGGCTGACTAACCTCGATTCTGTGTTGTGATGTGCAATACTGTTTCTAATGTTTGTATAAAAAAATAACAGTGTAAACCTTTTTAATGCAAATTTATTTTTTTCATTGCATATTTTGCAGATTTTATCCACAGTGTCATTTTTTACTGTCAGAAAAGATACCCCTTTTGTCATTGCAACTATTTTTTAAATCCAGAAATCTTTGTACTGATGTAAATGATTGTAGTTATTTTGGATAGTGTTTTGCTAACAAAAGGAGAGACTTTTTTCATGCATATTTCTATTTTGTTTTTTTGGTTTTTATTTTATTTTAATAGTAGTAAAATACTTGGAATAATTTTTCATATTCTTGTCATTAATATTATTTTGTATTTTTATGTGGAAATATATAATTTTATGACGCTAATTGCTAAAGTTTATTTTATGTTGAATTATTTTTGGAGCTGAAATCTTTGTAATATTAAAGCAACTAGTTTCTAATTCCGAGTTTCTGTATAGAATCGCACAAGTGGTTTATGGAGTGTTTGGATTGTAATTATAAATGGTTCTTTGATATGCAAATTAATATTTTCAGTTGATTTTATTTTGTATTCCTAATGGGGTGTTAAAGCAGTTTTTTATTTTTTTCTAAATAAAAGAGAACCCATGCTTTTATGGACACTAGGTAATCGCCTTCAGCTTAAAATCTTTTTGTTAAATATTTTAGTTTGTTTTACTGTTATCTTCCAGGTGTCTAAATCTCCAGTCTGTCTGTTGTACTGGTAATTTAACTCTGTAATGGAATAGTTTGCTGCCAACTATTTATATTAAGTAATTTTTAAATATTTGTAATATTGTTGACTGACTAATAAACTATTAAGTTATTGGCACATTTCTTTTGTAATTTTGTGTCTTGTGCAACTCTTTAACCAAATGCTTTCAATCATTAAAATGGAAAAGCAATTATTTGATCTCATGAGGTAAAATAAGAAGGCCAAGTTTGGTGCAAATTAAAGTGCTGTTATTTATTATACCTCTCCTAATGGTTGAAGGAATTCTTAGACCCTGGAGCCATTCAGTTTGTCATACAGCTTTTTAAACGACCTTCCTCTTCGTTTTCACTGGGAATTTTCCTCGGTTCCATGGTAACGTACGGTTGGTTCTCCAAGAGGCGCTGCAACTGTCTGCAGTAAAAGCCTCTGAAGTGTCTTGTGCTATGTCTTAGATGAACCGAATGGTTGTATGCTTGTAAACAGGCAAATATGACGGTGGCCCTTTCATCGAAAGGGTGCACCCGCTGCAGCTACCGAGCTTGGTGGGGTGTGTTTTGCTTCTATTTTTAAGATCCTGATACTCCTCCAGCATCACATTGGTGAAAACTGTCAGGGTAAAAGAGATCATGGCATGGCAATGGAAGAGCAGCGTTGTACTGTGGCTCAGTTGTCCGATATGCCACTGCGAATGCAGGAAGCTACTGAGTGACTTTTGCAGCATCCCAGTTTTTAATTAGGGATTTACTCTCTGTTTTACCTCCCCCCACTCCTGCCCTTGAGTGCCCCTGCTGTATCCTCTCCATCTATGTTTCTGCAGAATTGGGGTAACGCAAAGCTGCAGCTACCGGATTTGCAACACTAGAGAATTCCTTTCCATGCGGGAGATTCTTTAATCTGATCCACTGAGGGACTGTTTTAAGGCTATTTGCTGTCCTTTCTAGGGCAAGAATGCCTTAGCCAATTGAAGAAACTAGGCAGATATCTGTATAAAGAAACGCATAGCTAGGTCACACTCCATATAGATGCACTTTTTTTTGTTTTTTACAACAATCTTTCATCTGTAGTTTTGAACTGAAAATATTCTTTTTCAAGCCTATGGATTCATTATGGGAAATTCAAAGTTTTCTCTGTTACTTTGCTTGGAACAATCAAGGTTTCATTATTTCCACTGTAGGTTGTTTCTTTAGCATATCATAGAAACAGTTACTTCAGCCAGCACCACGGTTTCATTCACGTTTCTCATTTTTCTTCTGGTTCCTTTCCTGTGGCTTTAAATTCTTTGCTTTCACACGATTTTTAGGAATATTTGGGAAGCATCTTGTCCCCCTTAAAAGGCAGCCCATACTCCTTTCTGGTCTTGCATGACCCACCTCAAATCAGGCCCTAACCCTGATGCTGACCCTTGCCTGAAGTTCTGCAGTATGTCCCCTTTTAAGCCACCCCCGGCGCTTCTGCAGTGGGTCTAGGGAGCTTGGTACCTGCGCTGTGTCGGGGCTGGCAGTTCCCGGTAACACCAAAAGCAAAACAACGCTTGGTTACCTGTGGCAGGGAGGCAGTCACAAATAAGTGATTCTTAAAGCGCTGCCTGTCTTTTACAGCATTTTGTTTTCCTGAAGGCAGAAGTAAATTCTTCCAACAGTGCTGCAGGAGGCTGAGTTTTACTTCTGAGAGAAAGCCCATTTCTCTCTCATTCTCCACTTCATATGAGCTCTGCTCTTCCTTTCCTGTGTTTTGCCTCCTCCTGACAACACCCTGCAACTCTCACGTTTGCTTGAAAGTGACCTAGGAGACGCAGGTTACCCCCACGCTGTGTTTCAGGCCCTCCTACCCAGCTTTTGCTGAATCCTGGTGTGTGCTCAGGGGCCTCATGAGGGCAAACGGAGCCCAAGCGCAAAGGCAACAGCCATCCCACTCAGCTGCGCAGCAACCTTATGCTGCAGCCGTGGCACCAGCTCCGCCAAACACACAAAGGCCGGTGGGACTCATCCGAAGCCTGAGCGCCAAGGGTGCCCGCCGGCACCGGGAGCCGGGCTCCCCCGCCAGCACTGCAACCTTCATCAGGCCCAGCTCGGGCCTCTGGCTCATCCCTGAGACGCTACTTAGTATCTTTCATTTCTTGACTGTTTTTTAGCCCAGAAAATCTTCCATCACAGCCAATGTATTAATACATTAAACATCTTATTAACCATGTCTACATACAGTATTCCTAAATTATCACAGGACAGCTCTAAATCCATCACAGCATCTCAGCTGTAGAAAGGAGGAGAGAGCAATACCATAAATGGCAAGAATGAATGGCAATCATCTGGCTTTCTATTTTTAGTGATATTGGAAGAGTGAAAGACTTATTTTCCGCAGGAAGAACAGACTAAAACAAACACTATTGACAGTAGATGCTCTCATTGTTTTGTTGTTGTCTGTTTTATTTTTGTTGTCTGCAGTGGGTATTTAATATGCCATCACTTTCATCCGCACTTAAAAGTTGGCACAGATCCACAGCTGCCAAATTACCTGTTTCACTGCGGCACTGAAAGATGTTTTATTTTTTGTGTTCTGAAGAAGCAGTGGCAGTTCTAAAGTTAAGGTTATGTTACTTTTTTGCTTAACACAGCTATTAAGCATCTTCATTTTGTATAAAAAATAAATAAAAGATCTTCTTGTCCTTCAAAGAGCTGAGCATGCTCCTGCAGGAGAAAACTGCTGAGAGCAGGGAGCTGGTGCCTGCTGTGAGGAGCTGGGAGCCCAGCCTCAGAGCTGGCGGTTTCTTAAGTGGCAAAAAACAACTGGGCAAGGTTTGATATAACTGTGAAAATCACCAACTTCCACTAAAAGCAAGCAGGAAGAAAACGCAGAAAGAAATGATCCACCTGCAAGCACAGCGGGCAAGGGGAGGGTGGTGTATAAAGGTGTTTCATTTTCTGGCCTAATTTCTTCTTTTAATAGCGAGGGGACATGTCGAGTGAGAGTGCTTTGGCAGAAGTCACTGTGCAGCAGAGGTCTAGGCAGAGTCACCTCACTGGTCTGGCTAAGTGGGGCTAGGCCATAGCTGTTTTCTGCCATGGCTCACGGGATCTGAAGAGACTGAACTTTCACCAAAAGCTTTCTGCATGAAATTTTACCATCAGTCCCTAAAAAGCCTTCATAGAGAGAATGCCCCTGCATTGCTGCAGAAACTGCAGAAATCAACAGTGAAGACTGATTGGATGGCTAAAACAGGGAAGAGAGAGGATCGGATGGATAGTCTCTCCCACATTCCTTATTTTAACAGGTTTAGATGTCTTTAAGTTTCATCTACTTTTCATCTGCTTACGCTTCAGGTTCATGACACCCTCGTGGTGTATTTTACCCAGAACTTGTGTGTAGATGAAGAGCTAATTAGGAATTTTTAGCTAAGTATTTTTTCTACTAGCCTGATTCAGGTGAGGGACTTGAACCGCAATCTATTGAATTTTTTGATGAATGCACTAATCACCACCCTATTGTTTGCTGCTTTAAGATAGACATTTCTTGGTAATTCGTATGTTTGTTTTCTATCTGAATCAAAGACTGCTTGATTCATTTGCTTTGATGGTGGCTTGTACAGCAAGTTTGCAGCACAGCAACAAGGGAAGGTGTCTTCCACTTCTCCAGGCAGAGGATTCTGCCAACTTCTCATCTCCTAGACCTGAATTTCTTCCCATGGACACAAAATCAGGAAGGGGAGAGGTTGGTGAATATCCTCTTCTTTCCAGGACATGGAATTAGAGGCTTAGGACATTATGAGGGTGTACACATAAACCCCCACATGCTGCTGGATCCTTTCACATCCCATGTCGATAATTTTGCATGGTTTCTTGAACATAACCCCTCAGGGCCTTCCCAGTTCCTGATGCGGTATCATGCCAGCTGAGACTCCACTTTCTTTCTGCTAAAAAGTTTCATCCTACTGTGTTGACTCTCACAAGACTGCCAGATAAAACCATGACAGAAATGTTGGGAGATGCAAAACACAGCTCACCTAGAATATTGTGCCTGGTTTGAGGGGGAAAAAAAAAAAGTATTCTAACTTAACAGCTGTTGTAGTTTTAGTAAAAACACAGTGCCAAACTGTCAAAAGGAGCACAGTGCCCAACTGTCAAAAGAAGGCCTCATCCACCCACTGATGAAGATGTTTGAATCTGTACCTCAGCAAAGTGACTGGTTGCCTCTGGGATGGAAAGTATTTCAATATTTATCTTTGAAAAAGTGCAGAGATGTTAACATTTAATTAGGGAAGATGTACATTATCTGACATAATCAACAAAATGCATCTGTAGCTGAATCAGATGTGACATTCATTCTGTGCTTCGCAGTTACGCAAGAAACTTGTCACCATGAATACGGTTCACCTCTCATGCAGAACCACCTCAACCCTATACAGTTCATTTCCTAAATACACTCTCGAAATAGGGCTTGCATCAGCATTAACCAACGTGTGGGCCTTCCACTGAGAACTGAATTTCACTCTCTAAGATTAGATCTGGGTTAAGCATGGCACTATCTGTGTAACTTGCCTGCTTTACATTAGAACGTGGTGCACTTTTGCCAACATTCTGAGTGCTTTTGTAGCATGATTGCAGGGAGAGCCAGGAGACAGAAGTGAATCTGGGAACCTTGATAGTTTTATACGAAGATCTTTAAAGCATGTGAATAATACTTACCAGAAATGTTACTACCCTGTAAAAGAGAAGTGTTTCTTTAAGCAGAATTCAAAATAGAACAGCAAAGCAATAACACTTTGGGCAACTTTATATCTATACAGCTATCTCGGTAAAACTGGAGTCTAAATGAGGATTAGTAGCAAAAGGCAAAGTCTAATAAAGATGCTGTTTTTCATTTTTTTAAAATAATTTAAATCTATCAATAAGAATAACCATGGAAAATAATATTTGAAAGTCTGAAAACTCAAAAATAATGTTCAGTAGCTAACAGTTTTAACTCCATTCCTATTCACAGATAAATTATCCCTGTGGTAACAACTCCAGTAAATTCCAGATATATTATCAGTCGCTGCCCTCTGAGTGCCATACCTTTGCTGCTATGCCAATCTGCTTTCAAAAATGTAGGGAATGAATACACCTCAAACTGGGCCGTGGCCACA